ATTTTTGATTGACCAACTTGATTGATCGAACAAACTGATAGATGTTTGCCCTTTTTGTTCGATGGATTAAAGAAAATATATATTTGTTTTCATTGGAATTTAACAAGTTTATGTAATGAAATGAAATTTTGTTCGATCGACCGATTAAACTGATATTAAGATGTATTGCTTTTTTTGTTCGATCGATCGAACAAAATATTTGTTATATTTTCTTGTACAAATTTACCAATTGAAATTGAATACTGAGTCTGAACATTTTTGTTCGATCGATCGAACAAAATGATTCTTATATTTTCTAGTACAAATTTACCAAATTGGATACTGAGTCTGAACATTTTTGTTCGATCGATCAAACAAAATGTTTATTTTAAATTTTTCATTTGATTTAACAAGTTTTCGTAATGAAAACAAATTTTGTTTGATCTATCGAACAAACTGATATTTTCTTGTACAAATTTATCAAATTGATTACAGAGTCTGAACATTTTTGTTCGATCGATCGAACAAAATGTTTATTTTATATTTTTCATTTGATTTAACAAGTTTTGGTAATGAAAAGAAATTGTGTTCGATCGATCGAACAACCTGATGAGATGTTTGCCCTTTTTGTTCGATCGATCGAACAAAATATATATTTGTTTTCTTTGGATTCAACAAGTTTTTGTAATGAAATGATGTTTTGTTTGATCGACCAAACAAACAGATATTAAGATGTATTGCTGTTTTTGTCTGAACAAAATATTTGTTCGATCGATCGAACAAAATATTTTTTACATTTTTTTTTTAATACAAATTTACCAATACAGTGTCGGAACATTTTTGTTCGATCGATCGAACAAATTTTTCATTTGATTTAACAAGTTTTGGTAATGAAAAGAAATTGTGTTCGATCGATCGAACAACCTGATAAGATGTTTGCCCTTTTTGTTCGATTGATCGAACAAATTTATATTTGTTTTCTTTGGATTTAACTAGTTTTTGTAATGAAATGAAATTTTGTTCGATCGACCGAACAAACAGATATTAAGATGTATTGCTTATTTTGTTCGATCGATCGAACAAAATGTTCATTATATTTTCTTGAATTTTATCAAATTGAATATTGAGTCTGAACATTTTTGTTCGATCGATCGAACAAAATGTTTATCTTAAATTTTTCATTTGATTAATGAAAACAAATTTTGTTCGATCGATCGAACAAATTTTCATTTGATTTAACAAGTTTTGGTAATGAAAAGAAAGTTCGTTCGATCGATCGAACAAACTGATAAGATGTATTGCTTATTTTGTTCGATCGATCGAACAAAATGTTCATTATATTTTCTTGAACTTTTATCAAATTGAATATTGAGTCTGAACATTTTTGTTCGATCGATCGAACAAAATGTTTATCTTAAATTTTTCATTGGATTAATGAAAACAAATTTTGTTCGATCGATCGAACAAATTTTCATTTGATTTAACAAGTTTTGGTAATGAAAACAAATTTTGTTCGATCGACCGAACAAATTTTCATTTGATTTACTGAAAAGAAAGTTTGTTCGATCGATCGAACAAACTGATAAGATGTTTGTCCTTTTTGTTCGATCGATCGAACAAATTTATATTTGTTTTCTTTGGATTTAACAAGTTTTTGTAATGAAATGAATTTTGTTTGATCGACCGAACAAACAGATATTAAGATGTATTGCTTTTTTTGTTCGATCGATCGAACAAAATGTTTATTATATTTTCTTGTACAAATTTATCAAATTGAATAGAGTCTGAACATTTTTGTTCGATCGATCGAACAAAATGTTTATTTTAAATTTTTCATTTGATTAATGAAAACAAATTTTGTTCGATCGATCGAACAAATTTTCATTTGATTTAACAAGTTTTGGTAATGAAAAGAAAGTTTGTTCGATCGATCGAACAAACTGATAAGATGTTTGCCCTTTTTGTTCGATCGATCGAACAAATTTATTTTGTTTTCTTTGGATTTAACAAGTTTTTGTAATGAAATGAAATTTTGTTCGATCGACCGAACAAACAGATATTAAGATGTATTGCTTTTTTTGTTCGATCGATCGAACAAAGTATTTATTTTGAATTTTTCATTTTTATGAAAACAAATTTTGTTCGATCGATCGAACAAATTTTCATTTGATTTTAAATTAACAAGTTTTGGTAATGAAAAGAAAGTTTGTTCGATCGATCGAACAAACTAGTAAGATGTTTCCCTATTTTGTTCGATCGATCGAACAAAATGTTTGTTATATGTATTTATTCAATGTTTTAAATCAAATTTTCAATTAAATTGAATGAAAAAAGAGTCACTTGTTCTTTTATGTTATTCCCTTTTGTGGAAATTTACCCTAATATTTGCACCTAAAAACCCTATTTTAAGGCTAAAAAGAGGGACTGATTGGACAATCCCTTTTTATTTTGGAACGAGATAAATGTAAAATTAACTGATATCTTATATATAAATTTACCAGTACATTTCAATGGTCTGATCAAATGAAAATAGTGCCCACTCTTGAAATTATTAAAAATTGTAACATCTGGTGGCCTAACAATAGACCTAACTATAGATGGTATCAGTCGAATTACAAACAAAAAAACTTGTTCACATTAAATAGCAATTACTATACCTTTCTTCATCAAGGAGCGAGTTTTCTTTAGTTATTTCTGTCTTCAAGAATTCGGGCATGCAGTAAGTCTTGTTCCCATATGCTAAAAATAAACAAATAGTTATAAGGTTATTACTTCTCAAGTCATTGATCAGACAAGGATTATACACTAGGTGACCAGTGACCTTGACATAATGACCTCAATTTACAAAATTTCATCAGGTCCTAGGACAATGTCCCTACCAAGTTACATAATCCACAGATAATACCTTCTCAAGAAATAAATTAGACAAACGACCCAATCACATCATGCTTTCCAATTCATAATTGGATCATATAAATCAGTAGGTCAAAGTTCAAGGTCATGGGAACATTTACAACAGAAACTGGCCTTCAAATTTGGTATGCAAGATGACAAGCTGCTTGCAACAAGAGCAGTCATACATGTTTCCCAAACCTCTCATGTTATTTTAGATTCTAATATTAAAGAAACTGCTTTTTTTAAAAATACCTGTATTAGGCCGTACAAGAGATTTCTTCCTGTAGAACAACATATAGGCACTCTCCTTGCCTGTGAATTGTTTCTCTATTGTTTTCTCATATATAGGATGTACACGAGAATCATTAAAGTCAAACCAAGCTTTACCAGGATGTGGTTTCTCTGTTACTCTGTAATATTGTAGAAAAATTGTTGTAAAAAAACATATATCATATGAAATAGTCATAGACATATGGTGAAAAATTACAAATATTCATAAATGATAACTTGATTAAAAGACTAGCAATGGAAAATAAATTTACCATATTAAATTACAGGTAGTCTCTACAAGTTATGTAACACTGTTAATATCATTACATGACTTCATGTAAATGAAGCTGTATGGTCATCACTCTTGTTTTTTGTAAGCAAGCTTGCTTATGTTTAGCATGTACAAAATGTATCACTTTTAGAATCTAAATGCACAAATGCTGAGGGACAAGCTAAATAAAGTCACATACAAATATTTTATATAATATTTTCATCACTTTTTTGTTATTTGTAAGCTACAGTATATACTGGTCGGAGAGATAACTCCGACGCATAGATAACCCCGACACTTGATAAATATAAGTGTTTTAGCTTTGTTTTTCAACAAATAAGCACATGCTCACCTAACAGTATAGGAACAGGACAGAATGTGATGATTTATTATAATTTGGTAGACTTTTTAATGTTTTTCAAATAACCTAAACTTTTTGTAGGCAAAAACTGCTTCAAAATGTTCTTTTTACTAAATTACAGTAAGGTAGTTAGAAATGTATTGACCACAGGCCACTGACTTGGGAAAGATTTTTGAAAAATTGTTTAAATATTTACAAATAATAGATAAACCATATAAGATGTAAAAATAAATTATTGATGTTGAATTTCCAGTCATTTTTAACTTAAAAATTTAAGTGTCGACTTTATCTACTGTTGTGGGGTAAAAAGACCATGTTTTGTATACATCATTCAAGACCTTAAAGAAGTACCAGATTCCATTTTCATACATAGTTTTTGTGGTGTAATGTAAAGTCTTTGAACTGAACTTTGTTTAGGTGGTTCAATATTTAAAATATACTGGAAGATAATTAAAATATTGCAAAAAATATGTGATTTAGTGTCGGAGTTATCTCTCCAACCAGTATAGGTTGTAATCTTTAAATCCCCTGCCTTTTGATTCCACTATAAAACATTAAATTTTCTTGCCTGATGAAAATTTCCAGTTTTGTAGTTCTGCCCAGGTGTCTACTTGAGTCGAAAATATTCTTATGAAGAGGGACACTTTAGGCATATTTATCAATCAATAAGGCTTAAACAGCTTACAATGTTAAACCATTCCTACTACCAGTACATATCTTAAATTAACTCATCCAGCATATTTTTTGGGAGTGTCAATTACCAATTTAGGAATATGATGTTGAATATATTGAAGTTGGTCAACCAACAATGAAAACTTGGTAAGACTTCACAGATATGCTGACTAGCTTGATTCTTTTATTAGTGACAAAAACTTTTGGTCAAGCATTCTCAGAAACAATTCAATCAAAATTAACATTCACCTGTTTCCTTTGTTCATATTCCTTGAATTCACCCTGAGCATATTTATCAATCCCACAACTCCTAGCACATTTATCACATGACTGGTCACATGACTTAATTCTGGCTGGATCCTTGTTTACATCAATTGGATTACTTCTGTTATTGTCATGGCCACATGAACATTGACAGTCACTGTTAGAGATGGTAGAGGAAGGTTTAGGGGGACTTTTTTCGTCATGATTATTTTGTGTGTCACTGCTGGGTCCATATATTTTCAGAGATACATAATTTTGTGTAGAATCAAAAATAAACTTGTCATCGTATTTGCTTAAAAACTGAAAAAGAAAAATAATATGATATTAACATAACTATTATTGAAAACAAAATAGAAGTTTATCAACAAAAAAAGATTGTAAAAACTAATATGTTGAGGATCCATGCAGAGGTTCTCTTAAGGTAGAGAGATAATACAGTTCCATTTTGTTTATTTATACATTATTTTTCATTTGTCTAGCTTTAACATAAATAATATTTACAAAATAGAAAAAAAAACAGCTCTTTAATTAGCAGTGATTCTTACTTTTGTAATTGGGCCATATTTTCCTTTAAATCTTTTGTTCCATGATAAACCAGTCTGTTTCAGTATCTCCTGATGAAGTTTATCTAAAGACATCCCTTTGTTCTTTTGTCTACTCAGTATAACTTGTACAAGCTCAATGGGAGACTCACATTCTATAAAATCAACATTTCCTGTCAAAGGATCTGTTGGGACCACAATCTCTTCATCTTCCTGAAATAGCCAATCAAACAAGTTAAATCCTAATTCAGCTACTAATTGAATATTTCAGCACATTCTTCCGAAATAAAACTGGAGGAAGCAGGTGTACATTGACGTATAGGAAGAAAATATGTATAAATGGCAAAAATCAAATATGCAGACACAAATATTGCATGTATTTTAACATAAATGATTCAGAGACCGCTGTTAAGACAGCAAAATGCTATATAGAATCTTACAGTACATATGTATGTGCTTTTCATGTAATATTTGTTATAATATAATTGCAATTAAAGTTTAGTGTTTTACTGTCAAATCTTTATAAACATATCAGGTAGATCCTCTTTAAAGCATTTTATTTCCAAGGAAATGAACAATCGAACAATGAAATATCTAAAATTTTAAATAATGTTCACAGACCATCAAATAACTACGTGTGAACTGTGAGTTATTCTTCCTAGCAATAGTTCATCACACAAGTTATTTTCAAGAATCAAGATCAAAGGCTGTGGTGTTTAATAGTCAATATATTGATACATTCCACTTATCTAGAAGCATGCAAAGAAATAATATAGAATCATCAAAAAATAGATACACATGAATATTATAGAACATTGTCTTAACCCTTCACTTGCTGAAAAATGTGTAATTGACTTGCCCTGCTTTGAATTTGGAGCAGTCCATTCAAATTTTAAGGGATTTCATTATCATAATACAATAACTGAGCTACCAACTATATAAAGCCATGTCAGACTGCACATATAAGGCTGCCTTAATACTGGTGGCAAAGGCTTATTGCTTTCAGTTCTCAGCAGGTTAAAGGTTACAAATCAAATTAAGAATACAAGGATAACTTACAGGTGTCACCCAATGTCCGAGACCGTCAATGTCTCTAATATAGGCATGATAATGACCACCATGAGCCCCTCCTATATGGATAACTACAGAGAACAGTTCATACACAAGATCCTCGCCTTCTGCTGTCTGAAATTTACATTTAATGACTCATAAACTTTGATTCTTGCCGTCTGCTGTATGGAATATACATTTAATGACTCATAAACTTTGATTCTTGCTGTCTGCTGTATGAAACATTAATTTCATGTCTCATAAACTTGATGCTCATCATCAAGATAATGTTCAGAAAACAGAAAAAACAGCATTACCATACTTTGATTGACCTGTTGTAAATTGCACATATTATATGCAATTGAGAATTGTAGGCAGAATTGCCCATGGAAGAAATTGTTCACTCCTAGATTCTTGCCTGCCAACATTCTAGTTACAATAATTTCCATTTCTAGTTTTCTAAGGATTGCTGACCACTTGGCCTGTTAGGGGCAAGCTTATAGTTATTTCCAGAAGCAAGAAACACACTCATTGCTTAGTACTGGTTTGTTCCAAGAACAGATTTGATAGTGTTTCAATAAGCTTATAGCTTCCATCCAATTAATCCAATTAAACTAATACAAATTAGTATTAACTAAGTTATTTCCATTTAAAATCTTTGGTGAAAAATACAATTTGCGATAATAATGTGCGAAAATTATAATAATGTCTTACATTTTCACAGTATGGTTTCATGTCGATGGTGTGTGGGAACGAGAACTTCCCTGTCTCTTTATATCTCTCTAACTTCTGGAAATCAAAGCTGAATCGTAACAGGGACATTGTGAGAATTGAAGGTAATTTTCTCAACTTAGCGCCCTGTAAATTAGAAATCTCTGGTTATCAAACATTAAGCAGGAAATAAAAAATTATGTTGCTATCTGGGCAGGAATCATTTTGTACATATTTATAATAAATTCTTCATGAATAGTAATAGCAATAAAATAATAACAGTTACAATTGACTTGGCAGACTTTACATTAGAACTGATATCTTTTTTTGTAATTATCACTTTACTTTACTTTCCATTACCTATTGTAAATTTCAAATTATGTTTTTCTGGTTCTTCAGGGTAACTGATTCCAACATTTTAAGTGTTGAAAATTGAGTACCGCTCAAGCCGTTGCTAGGGGGCATGACCGATGTTGCACCTTTTCATTATTCCTCATGTTCAGACTCAATCAAACTGAGTCTGCAATTTTCATGTAATTTTGATGTGATTAATGCTTTCAAGGAGTCACACTTTATCCCTTTTTTACCTCCTTGCAGTCATCATTACTTATTTTATTTCACCTTTCAATGTCAGATGCTACTTTAACGTCACACCACCCATTGTACACAGTGTTTTATTTTCTACAACCTCTACTGAAACTATTCCTCCTTTCACTCAACTTAACCTGTTGTACACAGTGATTTATACTTTTACCTTTTCTGCATCAACAAACTTCTTGCAACCTCCACATTTATACTGATTCCTGCCGTCTAACATTTCAATGTCATTATAAGCCACACGTAGGCTTTCTTCTAGACTGTTGATGCCAGCTACAGCTACCTGGACATCTAAGAACTCTTCCTGTAACAACATATAAATTTTATCATAACAAATGTCCTATCTCTTTATAAAGTTTCTCTTATTCACTTTAGCAGTGAGGACTGTTTTTAGAATTCTAGTTCTAAATCAGAAAATTATATAAAGCCTTAGGATAATGCAGCCATGCCATAACAATCTGTTTTTGTATACTTAAAGTACTAAATTAATGTTTACTAAGTGGTGTTGAGTGGGTTCAAACCCAATCAAGGGCAAGTCATTGTTTCCTTGAGCAAGAAACTTTACACTCATTGCTCAGTACTGGTTGGTTCCAAGTATGTCTTTAAGCTTATAACTTTCTACACAATCAAACTAAAATAAATTCTGTATAAACCAAATCAATGTTAACATTTTAGGAGATGTACTTTAAATGTTAAGAAATTGTGTTAATGATATCAGAAAATGATTACACCTATATTTCTTACCTCACGTTCACTAACTTTGCCACATTCAGTACACCGAATCTGAAATATAAACATTCAAAGCTTCAATACCTCTAATGTGACACAAAACTAATATCCTTTATGTACATTGAAAATAATTTTGTTTTCATAGGTTTATTTGTTTGATAAAAAAAAACAACATACTCTTTATTTTGTAAAACAACTTTTCACTTTGTACAGCTCAGGTTTACTTTAACTTTACCAAAAACTAATAAACAGTTATGTTGATGAAGTAAGTACCTGGTTAACACATTTTCCATGGTATAGTTGTTTTATAAGATTATGACCACTTGTTCCAACCAATGAACTTTCAATTGCACTAAACAATATACGGTTCAATTCTTGTACATCACTCTGATAAAATTGCTGAAATAAAAAAAATGCAAATCACTTGCAATTGGACAATATTTGTGATGAAAGCACTAAAGTTGTCTTCTGTTGAAAAAATGTTCGCATAATTATCTATTTTTATGGGTATCTGTAATGGTACCATCGAATGGTAAGGGTTAATTTCTTTAAATGGTCATCCTGTAAACAACAATTGACAAACTGATTTAAATCTAATCAATAAATTTGATTTTATTTTGATTCAAACATCATATGTACATATATATCAGTGTAAGAAATTTGGATAGGCCGGTTGGACTACCAGATTGGAATATTCACTAGCCCAAAAGACATTTCACTAGCATGATTCATTTGTTCAAAACAGTTGTTTATATTGCCTCTGAAAATACAGTAGTCTGGTCGGGCTTGTTACTGTAAAAAGTTGGTAGCCCGAGGAGAAATTTAGTAGTCAGGGGCTATAGGACTACTGCTAATTTCGAACACTGATATATAACTTATAAGTATTTACTATCTTCTATATACCTCATCATTTATCCATCCAAAACTATGTGTAAGATGTTTGGTTGAAACACTTTGACAATTTTTCAGTAATAATCTTGCAAACAACCTCTGTAGTTGGATAGGAATCACCCTGACCTGTAAAAAACATTATCATACACATATATAATGCCTGCTGCAGAACTATTCAATTTTATACCTCTTAATATCTTTGGTGTATTTTTTTATTAAACATGCACAATTATCACATAAACCGTGGCGCAGGAGTATAATAAAGTCATTCAATAAAAACAATATTACACTAGTGTAATAACACTTAAAAGTGACTTAATTTGTGATATACATAAACATAGAATTAAAGCGCCCTAATATTAGTGTTACACTATAGGCTTGTCAACGAAAAATTATGCCTACAATAAAGGTACCTTATTATATAAATTTCAAAAAAGTTATATGAAATCTGTTCACAAATCCAATGCTTTTGTTAATAATTTCTTTCTACATGCAGTCGTGTAACACTACATTAATGTACATATACTTTATTTCTATTTATAATCTCACTTTTATTGCAGAATAAATCATTTTATATGTACACTTTAAATTATGCCTAAACAGTGAATATGTAATTGGTATAAAATAAATACCAATACATGTAGGTCAAAATGATGTTAAGGTAAAAAAAACACTGAAATTATTTGCCTACATTTAACCTAAAATCTTTGAACATCTAAAACCATAATTATACCTTTGCTTCTGGTTTGTCAGCATCACATAATTTTCCTAATTCATCCTCTGACAAACAAAATAATCCATCTGAAATAGACAAGTTTTTCATACATCTCATAATGGGAATTACCAATGTTAGCATGTACTTTATTTGAATTTGTTTGTTTTGGGTTTTACGTCACATCGACACAGTATAGGTCATATCGCAACGTTCCAGCTTTACTGGTGGAGGAAGACCTCAGGTGCCCTTCCGTGCATTATTTCAGGCACGAACGGGCACCTGAGTAGAACCACCGACGTTCCGTAAGCTAGCTGGATAGCTTCCTCACATGAAAGAATCCAAAGTCCCTGTCGGGATTCGAACCCACAGCGAATAGTTTTGAACCTTTGACATAAGCTAAATTTCCTACATGGACTTATCATGCTTCCATTTTTGAAACTGTTATCCATTTTTGGGGATAACAAGATGAAAACGTAAGAGTCAGTCAGCCATGACAGTCACCTGGTGTCCAAGTTGGTATGGCGTGTATGGAAAGGTTATTATTCTTGAGACAAACGGGTGGGTTCACTTTGAAAAGAAAATAACAAACTGGCTTTTCCAAATTCATAATTTGCAAAGCAAAAATTTACTGCATACAAATAGTTTAAGTCCCAGATACATGTAGAAACAACAATTAATTAACTTGTTAAAGGAACTTCACTAAGGACCAAAAATCTGATCGAAAACATAAAATTTAAATTTCTTACAAAGATCAACTTGAGCACTTAAACAGAAATATGTGCGAAAGATAATTAATACGGGGCAGTCAAAGACGGGGCCCGCAAAGCGGGTCCGGGCTTTGGCTTGCCCGGCTATAGACTACACGTGAATATTTAAAAGAAAATCAAATAAAAAACAGTTAAAAAATATATAGAATTCTATACCTATCAATGAAATTTTCAGTGTCAGTTCTAGTCGGGGGCCGCCATTTACAATGTATGTCAATGATAATAGGCGGGGTATTGCGATAACGGAACAAATCTCAACTTTTCGGATAAGTAATAATCGTCGAGTGTTCCGAGTGTAAACGGAAGCGGTGTATGTAATATCGAATGACACCTTTAAAACGGAAAGAATGAAAGGATTTTTTTAATGACTTTCCCGTTCATAGGCTTTGTCTAATTTCATATTAAATATACCTAGAAATAAATTGACAATTGTAATTTGTATTATGCGCTAATCTTTGCCTGATTTGAGTGAAAACCGTTGCAATGTTGGTCATTTTTGCACAATTAGAATAATTATTTTGGGAAAACAAGAGTGACCAAATGATCTGAAATTTTGCATACAAGTTTTCTAGCAGAACTTTCATCTAATGGAACACAAATCTCGAAAAAAATATTTCCTTGACTGTCATGCCAAATAACCAAAGTGCAGTCCCTTTAACAGTTTGACTTAATAAAATACCTCTTAATTCTGGTGTCAACAGTAAAGTTTGTAACAATGAATTCAAGTAACATGTAGCTCCTAGGTTGTCAAGGCCGCTAAGTTGACACTGTCCTCTTGGCCTGGGTGGAGATGGAATTCCCGACTTACGACTACGAGTTTGAGCAGTCTGTTCACTTGACTGTCCTTCCCCTTCAAATAAATTACCAAATACGCCTTCCATACTATCTAACAATTCATAAACTGCACTAATACTCAACAGAATAACAGTGACTAAAAATATAACAAGGAGCAACTATTTTCTGGAAAAAAATGTAAATTTCACGTCATGTCGAAAGTGAAACTTGACTCCATTTTGTTTGTTCTGTCTTGATTGAAATTTTTGTCGTTATAAAATTTGGAACATGTTCTTCCCCTACGCTTAGAATTGGGTTTCGGTACACTAAATCATTTTTCTACTGCTGGCATTTTATATAAAATTTCCGAGTAAGTCCACCTATAATAAATTTTATTATCATATTCGAATAATAAATTGAATGTTGATATTGAAATTGAATGAGTGTAATTTCAATACATAAATTATTGAACTCGTTAAATAAATTCAGTACAGGCCGCATTATATTACTTTATTCGAGTTCGAGTACAGTACAGTATATAATTAATATTTGTTTCGTGTTTTATTAACTTATTTTCAAAGAATATTTACCGTGTAAAAAGTAGTGGAATATTACTAAGTGTTTGAAAAATTGATAGTGTTTTGTGTTTAATCACTTAAATTTATGCCATTATGACTGATAACTGTATTGATTGTGGATATATATTGTGCGTGACAGACAGGAGGTAGCTATAATAACCTGCGATACCTGTGATAGATGGAATCATCTCTTACTTAAACATCCAATAAGAATTTGTCAACGAACTTGCTAGGTAGGGTAGGGTACATAGACAGAATTTTACAACAGGACTAAAATACAACAGGGCGAAGAAATGATCTGAAAATTTGCAAATTAGTGATTGGTTCAGACCTACATCAACTGGTACACAAAATCTCGGGGGAATGTTTACAATCCTGTCATGTCAAAAAAACCTCAGTGGAGTCCCTTTATAATACTGAAATAGACAAATCCATGGCACATGCTTATAGGATTGGTTGTGCGAATCAATGTTATACAATCAGAGCTGCATCAGTACTAAGGGTGTAGTACTGAAGTACCAGTACCAGTATATGGCAAATTATGCAGTACCATTACCAGTACCAGTACTAGATTTTAGCTCGGTACTGCAGTACCAGTACTTTTTTTGGTGAAGTAATTAAGTATCAGTACCATTACTTTTTTATATTCATCAAAGATTGAATTAATACAGTGTCAAACAAATAATTGCAAATATTATTCAGCAAAGAAATAAAATCATAATTTACTTTAAAGCTGCATGCCTCCAGATGACCAATAATATTTCAAGAAAATTAAACTTGGAAAAAAAGATTACAAAAACTTTGAGAAAAGTAAACAAGTTAAAGATGCAAGTGATAATTTATCTCTTATGTGCAATTAATGACTGTATTTTGTAGTATTTATCACCATATTTCTACTGCATTACTAATGCAGTAGGGGCTACTTATGCATGTTTTGACCTCTTTTTGGTTATTTACGTGGATTTTAAGTGCCGATTGTAATGTGTCAAGTACTTTGTTTGTTCATTTAACAATAGTATACCTTTAAATACATTTTCAAAATTTTCATGAACATTAGGATGAATCTGGAGGCATGCTGCTTTAAAGTTAAAATAGCATATTATCAACTTTATAGTTTTAACATACTTTTTAAAAACAATATTTACAACATATATTCATGTCATATCTAATTGTTTAGTAACCAATCAACTGTATAAATACAATGCAAAATTCTTTCATTTTAAACACAACAGTCTTTTGTTGCCTTTCACACCTTCACACCTCTGTTCAATTTATACCAAAGTAATTAACAACTTTTTATGGTGCTAACAATATCACTTTTTTCACTTGAAATTGGATTTTTTAAAATAGAAGAAATTCATAAGTGTTTATTTTGCTCTTTTACTAGTAAATAAAAAGAAATAAAAGATTTTAATAAGGTTTTTTTAGGGTAAAGAGTTATTTAGTCTGTTTATCTTAATTTAATTTTTACTTAAAGTCTTTGGTGCTTTTATGATGAAAACTATGTTAACATTTGAAGGAATATTGCAGCAAATTATCTTTAGATTTGATGACTTACTTTTTCACAAAAATAAAATATATCGTTAATGTAATTTACAGCTTTATCTTATGAGAAAACTTGATGTTATTTTTATTTTTTATCAACACCAAAAGTACTGGGTAATGCAGTAGCAGTACCACTTTTTGAGACAGTAATGCAGTACCAGTACCAGTAGTAGCAAAATTTTGTAAGAGTAATTCAGTATCAGTACCAGTACTTGCAAAATCGCTGCAGTACGTACTGCAGTACCAGTACCAGTAATGCAGCTCTGTATACAATACCTTTAATCTGAGTATCTGACCAATGGAAACTTTTGTCATATCCCTCATATTTTGGTAAATTGTAATCTATGACTTTAGGATTACTGTCCGCTGTAATTCCGTTCGGGAATTTAATTCAGTAAAGTTCCAAAATCCACAGTGTTTCAACGATATCATATGTGTTCAGATTGCACAGGTTACACTGTAGATTGAAGAAAAAAATAACTAAAGAAACTGCTAAATTTTCAATTCATCAATCTAATATTTGTATAATCAATTTACTCTCTAATTTTTGAATATGTGCATGCTGGTTGTTATGAAATGTAGCGAAAATCTTTTGTTCACACCAAACTCGTTTTTCAAATACAATATACATGGTCAAGGATGCAAACTACAAACAATCTTGCAAACTAAAAACAACAAACAAGCACTTGAACGTGTTCCTTTTAATTTTTCTCAAATTTTGAAATATGAGCCCAATATTTATTTTTTTGTGCTTTTATTTCATTTAATTTTGCATTTTATTAGGTTTTTATCTCACGATTTCGGTTTCAGTCAACACTTTAAGCAGGTATAATTAGAGGGCTAATTTCTGTTATCTTCTGTAATTGTCGGGGTTTTCGTCAACTGGATTTTTAGGAATTTCATTATTTTCATTTTATTATGCAAATCTTAGTAAGAGAATAGTATAAAAGCCTAATTTAAGTAAATCCTGCATTCAAAATTGTTGAAGGGAAAAGTATCATATTTGTATATTATATATCAACTGATAATGCTATAGTTTTGAAATGGTAGATATTTTTTATTTAGATAAGTAGTTAGATTTTATTTTGAGAAACCAGTTTTACAGAACGTACATTATGACATTTTCATTTTCAAATAACAGTTAAAAACGGCAAACATGTGCGTGCTATGTAGCGTAATCTTCTTTCCAATTTCGTACACTAAACTTGCAAAAGCCATATACTGTTTTATTTTGTTTGTTTGTTTTAACCATTTCTAACACTGAAGATATATGGCATACAACATATTATGTTAATATTGGTCTTCATTTATTTTTGTGAAATTATTTTGTCAATTTACATAAGCGAAGAATTCATTCACCTTCCGACAAAAAAGAAATGTTAAATTGATGGTCTTTTATTATACATTGTATTTCCATATTGCAAGTTACATTCATAAGGTGTATTTTTGTATGTATGAAATTCTTATAATTCCTATAATATTGTCACATGTATCATGCGTAACTGATCTTCCCGTTCATTTTGAAATTTGGATTTCCCCTCGACAGTGTTATATTCAGAATCGATATCATAACATTAAACTTTCTTACTTGTGTAAAATACAAATGAACTGTTGTATGTTTTGTTTTAGTGACAAGTATATTACCAAGAATATTATATCTCAAATGAGATGTCCAGTAAAATATACTATTGTATAATTTGAACTAGAAGAGACAACAAGAGTACGTCTTAATATTCCAAGATTTAATACACAAGTGATGTTACATGTAGCATGCTATGGAGGCGGAGCTTATCAGTAACTAAAGTCTGTTTCAATATATATCAATATAGAACATGAACGAAACGCCATCAGTGGTGGCTTGTTCAATTTTGTAGCCTGTTTCATAACGTAAAGGTAAATGATATCGCAATAACAACAATGCTATGACTGTGTCAATATCTTTGAACTGTTGATATACAGTATTTTACTCTTATAATTACAAGTCAAACACTTAAACGTGTAATTATTAGGAAAAAAAATCAAAACTGATCATTTTGTACAAACGACACAAGTTATTTCAGTATCTCTCGAGTATGGAGGCGACGGAAGTTGACCGCTTGCTTCTACAAAATAAAAAAGGGCGCCATTATTGTTCGCCTCTGACTTAGAAATGGACTCTGGGTTTGCGTCCACGCAAACAATATCCATCGATTTATTGTGAGCAGAATTACTTGTCATAAGGTAACCCGAATATTGTTTATCCCAGTCACTGTAGCATTCAGTGCGTGCCGGAATCATCATCATGGCGGAACTTCCGGTAACTTCGCAGACGGCACATGGAATATCGTGTTCGTTTAAATCTTTTCCAAATACTGCTGCTAGATTTGTACCTCTAGCATTGTATTCAGAACCGTACAAGTACGAACCGGACCTGCCGGGAAAGGAGGCTTTAAACTGTGGTTCTTTCGGCAAACAAAGGATGTTTGAAGTTCCTCCAATTTGGTTGTAACGACTTCCAGCGGTATATCCTGAAAAAAAATTAACAGATGCATTAAGAGTTAAGAGAATATCAACAACCACTTGGCATATTTATAATATCACTTTGAAACTGCAATGCTGCTGGGAAGAGATCATCCGGACATTTTAGATTTTTGAAACAGTTGTAAATTTGCGTAAATCTATTTACAGATTATAAATTTATAGATTTAGTATTTAAATGGGGTTTGAACAGTTATAATAATACGCAAATATCTATTTGTTGATTGCAGACGATTTTGTAACCTTTAAGCCAATTAAGTTCAATCCAGGTCAGTAAACAAACCTGTCAACGAACCTTTTAACCGGTTAACGTTTTCACTGGAGTTTAATTTATACAAAAAAGTATTAGGCAATAGATATTTATAAAATTAATCTTGTTAAATAATAATACCGGTATCTTAATATAAATGATTATTATATTTTAATTAAATCAACCCTTGCAAAGTCTGTACATACCGACGTATAACAAGTCCGATGTGGTTGTACAATTAAATCTTCCCTATCTCGTAAAATATGTAACAGAGCCTAGGAAGAAAGAAAGAAAAAAAATTAAGAATATATATTGTTTGAATGTGCTGATTCCAATGACACGTACATTGTACTGTTATAACAAAAATTAAGAAACGTAAGTCAATGTAATGCTGTCACTAGGAAAAATATTATAAAAAAACTACCTACATTTCAAAATCTTACAAATCATAAACAAGGATAGTAATGGTGTACAACAAATATCTCTCTTTAACGACCACCTACGTTTAGTGTGGCTAGTCCCTTTATCTGGACTCTGTGTGGTAGTTTGGATATGTTCCTGGCTCCCAGAGGACACATTATCAGTTCCTCCTCGTGACTTGGCAGCGTTTCCCCCATTTGATGACGTAGTGCCTTCTTTAGCTATGTGATACACAATTGTCACAGTGACGGCAAACATCATTGACGTCACAACAACACTTAACGCTACTATTATGTACATTGTCGACTTCTTTACTGTTGCTGAAGGAGGAGGAAGAGGAGAAGAAGCAGACGATGACGATGGCGCCGGTGTGATTACTTCTTCTGAGAACGCATCTCTATCCATATTCACATATTTATCTTGTGTTGAAAATATAACAGACATTTTCAAATGGTTTTAAATATATCCAAACTTTAGAAATGTTTATGTTGAGAACTCCAACACTTGGTTTATAATGCGCCCATGATTTTAGTATTAACGACTTAAAGTCATTTACATACATTTATTTGTTAAGTGTTTTCACAAGGTAATCATTTTCAACTCAGATTTCGTTATATGATATTGTAAAACATCAGTTAACAATATTACAGTACACCTATGTCAAGTAGGGGTAGTTTTTATCCACACTTTTCGAGCATTCATCTGGAACGTTGAATAAATTCAATCTAAACTTTTATCATCGTATCCTCATTTTATATGTTAATCGATCAATCATAACACCAATCAATGCATAGATCCCTAAATGGTTTAATTCTATAGTATCAGATTAGTGGATTACAAAACGCATTTCAATTCAAAACATTCGTTTACAAAAGTGCACATGTTAAATCTACTGTTCTTTAAATTAAAGGTTACAGTATTGATCTATCAATGGCGAATTTGACGTGAAAAAAGTTCAAATTATCCGAACTGGTGATATAATGTTGTCAATAGAGTTTTCTTTTTCATTACCAAATTGTCTAATTACGACAATAGTCAAAATAATTGATGATACCACCAATTATAAATCAATGGTTTATTCTCGATACCTTTTCACTTAAATTGAAGGCCATAGGCGATTTACATTTATGAACGTATACATAATTATGAAAGTGTATCACTGGTTTTAACTAAGCAACAACTGAGTTATTGTTGCAGTTCGGCTTGTGATTATGAAAAATATACCGGTAATTACCAGAAATGAATTTAATTACTAAAATTATAGTCACTAGGAAAACTCGTTAGAAAATAGCAAAGCTGATACACAATGCACTCCATAATGTAGCAGTGGCAGAAGCAGTAGCTGCTGCTGCTGACGCTGCTGCTGCTGCTGCTGCTGATGGTGATGATGATGATGATATTGTTGTTGTTATGAAGTTGACCGTCTCTTCATTCAGTGTTGCAATATCAACATTGGCATTTCTCAAATTCTAGTCAACAAATAGATAACTTAGTGGACACATTTTAAAGCGAGATACTATTATGTATACTCAGATTGTATGTATTAAAAGTTGCAGGGTTTTCTACCTTTTCTTCTTGGCACCCACCTTTCCAAAATATCGTAAATATGTTGAAAACGGAAGTACATTTTGTAGCTTAAAACAATAGACTAATATCAATGAGAATTAATCACTTGGTTTTCTGACAACAGGGATTACTCCGCTTTCCTGTTTACAGAAAACCAAGGAAGTAACGGCAAATGTCCTTGGTGTCTGACATACATTGATAAATGGCAACATATCTAGATAGATAAGGTCAAAAGATAGATCTTATTTAAACCAAATAATCAGAAAATCTGATGCCTACCGAAATGAAAGCAATTTCACTTATATTTTTTGTATTTTCCGCATTTTTACCCTTTATAAAATGCGGAGCTTCTGACAACATCGAAGCATTGCTAGAGGCTATTTTTGTACAAAACCAAAGACTGGAGTCAAAGGTTGAAAGAATAGAAGAGGATTTGCGTAAGGAAAGAGGGGGAAACCAAGAGCTCCGGGACAAGGTTGAACATCTTGAGGTCAAACTGACTGCAAATGCTGCTCAAAGTGTTGAAGCAAGACGTGAGTAGCCCCAATTTCAGTGCTGTTTGTTTTATAGGTAATGGATTTATTATGAACTGTCAAAACATATCTTTGCCATTGATTTTCATATTAGATTATTACGCCGTAATAAATGTGTTTGATTTAGGCCTTAACTGATTTGATTGTCGTTTTTAGAAAATCTACAGGGATATGTTCGGTTTAAAACAATCACGCACATTCTAAATTATAGATTAAAGTCTAAATTTTATTGATACTTTAGTCATATGAGCCACGTGTCTGTTATATATCCTTATCTTTAATATTTTAGGTCAACTAAATGACCCAACAGTTGCTTTTACGGCAGTCATCTCACCCAGTGATGTGAAAAATCTTCAGCCCGGACAGACGCTCATCTTTGACAGGACCATAACCAATATGGGAAATGCATACGACATAAGCACGGGAATATTTACTGCTCCAATCCGCGGCGTCTATGTCCTTCATATGGATATCATGATAGAGCCGGGCAACAACGAGTACCTGCAATTTGTCAAGGATGGTGCCCACATACTGTTTAACTATATCCATGCAAATGGTGGACGTGATGACGTTTCTAGCAGTAGAACCGTTGTGACAGAACTTGAACATGGGAGCCAGGTGTGGATAAGAACTGCCCAGAGTGCAAGTCATGGCACAGGGACAATACATGGCAATGAATTTTCAACCTTTTCCGGATGGCTTCTGACAATAACAGAATAAATTGATTTTCAGACCACAGCTGTTTATTTATTTATTTTTCAATTACTAGTGAGCAACTCTGAATAAACGCAAGTCATGTATGCGTACGTGCATAAACATGCCTGGAAAAATGTCGCTCCACTTCAAAATTGGGGTGTACGGTAAAACAAGCGAACGGCATTTCCGAGATACAGCGGAAGGCCGATTTAAACGGATAATTGCAAGTGTTGTTTATGTTTTTGTCTTGTTATTAATTTAAGTTGTATTTTTTTCGAAAAACGGAAAATGTAGTTCCGTGTAGGATTGTTTTAGGCTTTCAATGATCTAAGCTGTTACAAAAACAAAATTATATTAAGCCCGGGAGAACTTTTCTCCCTGACGAAGTGAACGACAATTTGTAGAATATTGAACTTCACAACCATTACCCTTCGGATTTCATTAAAATGTAATGTCAACCCGTAATAAGAACTTGTCCTTAGTGCAAATTAAACTAATCATGATGGATTTCCTAAATTTGTATATCGATTTTTTTTTCAAAAGTAGTGGAGCCAAAGGTCAAGAGATGGATCGAAAGGTCGGTTGTTGGGCGCAAGGCGACATTAAGTTGGTGTAAAAAGCATAGTCTACAAATTTCTATAAATAAAATCTTTTAAAGTTGAAATAGACGTACTAAAATGTGAAGCCGGAAAAATATGATAAGATATTAAGTTATTTCTACTATAACTGGGTCTTTCAATTGTTAATAATTTTGGACTGTACGTACACCGATTGAGCACTGCCTTTTTTTATTACGTTTGTTTTGTTCATAGATACTCTGAATAAACGAACACAATTCTATATTCATTTTTTTTTCTTTCATTAACCAAGATTTGTACTGACAATATGCAGTGTTTGATTATAAAAGTGAACATTTCCATTTATACTTTGAGAGGAAAATGGTAAACTAAACAACAATGCTAAATAAGAAAGAACGTATCTTCAAACATAACTGAAACAATTATATAACACCCCCTTCCCCGGGTCTCGTATCCCCTTCCGCTATGCCCCTTTACTTTGTGAGCCTGTTAAGCAGTAATTTATCTTTTTTCTTTGTTTTCCTTGTCGGCTTTGGTGATTTCTTTTCATGTTTCATTTTATAATAAGTGATTGACCTGTCCGTGCTCCGCATCCCGCTCTGTCCTGTTTTTGATTGGTCTCCTGGGCTCCTTGCCACCGGTTAAAGTCTTTTTGCTGGGTCGCGTTCATTGAACGCCGCCTTTCCTTGTCGATCATGTTTGTCATATTTCATATCCTTAAAACGACTGACACTTTGTCAACAATTTTCATAGAGATTCCCAACCTTACAATAGTCTTTCTATTTCATGAAAACGTGGATTATTTGTGTTTGATCTGAACATGTATGTTAGAGCTATTAATTAGAGAAAGTTGTAGTAAAATTAACTCGGTAGTAGTGATCCATTTTATGTGCCCCGTGTATTGCATAATTTTGTCTCTGTTCTGCACCTTAAATATCTAACTTTTTGAAAAAACATAACATTTGGCGGGAACAATTGCGTTACATGTACATTGTACCTGTTCGGAAACATTTGTTCGCGGTAGAACTTAAAATATTCGATTTGTCGAATTTGCACGGACACATGTTTTTAAATGTACATCACTAGGACAATCATGATTGACCTCGAATAAGTGGCACCCTGTTTTACGCCATATGATTCAATGATCGGGCGTCATCCAAATTTGGAACACAAATTATGGAATCTATCCACAGCCATAGGTGACACCTTTGCGATTACATTTATTACGCTATAGTCGTTGAAAGTATGTTGTCTTTAAAGGTATATATATATATATATATATATATATTCTATAGCTTTTATATATCAAAATTCATAGACTACGCTCCTCCTAGTATGCTAAATTAAAATCGCATTGCGCTCAACATCGAAACTTTCGCTCCATCTCTTGCCCTTTTGCTCCACTATTTTCGAAAAATATCGATTTACAAATTGAAGAAATCCTTCAGGAGTAATTTATGTTGCACGAAGAACAAGTTTTTATTACGGGAATATTTTACCTTTACCTTTTACATGTGTAGTTATCAGTTACGCTTATCAAAATGGTATTTTATGTATCTTTTAAATATACCGATCAATGTTTATGGATTTTGAGAAGAGAAAAATTGAGTGACGTGTATTATTAGAAATAACATGTACATGTATAACGAAGAAGCGGATAAAATGTGTGTTAAAACTTTTATTTCTTCCAAACAACCCATCTTAACTTCTCAAGATTTTGAAGAAAAAAAAATATTTAAAATCTATTTTTGTGACTTAAATTGTTCTATTTGCAGGTATATCGTACACTAAAAATGCACTATCACATATTCTGGTTTTTTTTTCAAAATGATAATTCATCTTGATTTCATGTAATAAAATTCCTTTTGTTTTTATATGAACTATTTTAACAGCAAATAAGTTGACTTTCCATTTGCTTTTAGATATATTTCCACATCTTCTTTAAAAAAAATGATCTCGGTGTCAGGTCCGTGATCGTAATTCTTAACCCATTACTTCATATACACGCCTTTTAACGCCTTATTCACCCCCCCCCCTTTTGTTGTCTCTAATGGTGAAAAAATGCCTTATTTAGGCCCCCAACACTTGTTTTTGCTTGCGAAATGTTGTTAAAAAAAGTGACCACTTTTTCGGCGCGGACCCCCAACCAAAAGATACATCAGGGGGTTGCCAGAAGGGGGATGTGCCCCCTTCTGTTTGGGGGGGTTTGAAGGGGGGCGGAGTCCCCCTCATCGCGAAGAAAATTTTTGACTTGTGAGAGGCTATAAATGACCCAAGATTGATCATAAGGTAACGTGTAACCAACGCTGAAAAGCATTTGACTCTATCTCAATCCATTGAGAAGTTGCAGCACTTTGAAATCAATTTTGATGGAAAAAATCAACGCAAAATAGTGATTTTTGGCAATTTTGAGATGACCCCTTGTTGCCATGGTAACAGAAAATTTAAGCCTGAGCATGTTGTTTCAAGGTCAATGGTCCAGTCAACATTTGTGCCAAGTTTGATTAGTATTGAAGCAGTTTTTATAGTATTATAGCAATTTGAACTTGTAGCGGGAGACTTTTCAATGAAAACAGCCATTTTTCACAAAATGCTCATGAAGTAATGGGTTAAACAAGTATCTTATCCGTGCATATTTATGGCATTCTTCGCCACAAAGCTATAAAGCCACCTTATCTATATTTGTTAAATGCTAAATTATATCATTTTCTATCGTTAACCTTGAACTAACTCGGAAATGTCTATGAACTTCTACTATATTTCTATGTAGGGCGATACAGTTTTTTTGGCCATTCGCAGATTATGCATGCGCGAGAAAATTCTAATTCCGGTCCATTTTTCATAGCAACGGACCGCGTCGTAAAATGTCTATAAATATTACAAAAGGACTAAAATACATATTGTATAATAAACAAATATACCCAGAATTATTCGTAAATTGAATATTGATGTTTTGGCGCAAGATTTAGCCCGATTTGAGTGACGCTTTTTTCATTTTTCCATAAAATGATAATTCAAAAAGGGCGAAGAAATGATCTGAAAATTTGCAATTAGTGATTGTTTAGACCTACATCAACTGGTACACAAAATCTCGAAGGAATGTTTACAATCCTGTCATGTCAAAAAAAAACCTCAGTGGAGTCCCTGTAATACTAAAATAGGCAAATCCATGGAACATGCTTATAGGATTGGTAGTGCGAATCAATGTTATACAATACTAGTACCTTTAATCTGAGTATCTGACCAATGGAAACTTTTGCCATATCCGTCATTTTTTGGTTAAGTGCAATGTATGACTTTGGGATTACTGTCCGCTGTAAGTCCGTTCGGGAATTTTAATTCAGTGTTTCAACGATATCATGTGTGTTCAGACTGCACAGGTTACACTGTAGATTGAAATAAAAAAAGTAACTAAAGAAACAGCTAAATTTTCAATTCAACAATCTAATATTTGTATAATCAATTTGCTCTCTAGTTCTTGAATATGTGCTGGTTGTTATGAAATGTAGCGAAAATCTTTTGTTCACACAAAACTCGTCTTTCAAATACAATATACATGGTCAAGGATGCAAACTACAAACAAACTAACAAACTAAAAACAACAACAAAAAACTTTTGAACGTGTCCTTTCGTTCTTTTCAAAATTTGAAATATGAGCCCAATATTTTATTTTTTGTGCTTTTATTTCATTTAATTTTGCATTTTATTAGGTCTTTCTCTCACGATTTCGGTTTCAGTCAACACTTTAAGCAGGTATAATTAGAGGGCTAATTTCTGTTATCTTCTGTAATTGTCGGGTTTTCGTCAACTGGATTTTTAGGAATTTCATTATTTTCATTTTATTATGCAAATCTTAGTAAGAGAATAGTATAAAAGCCTAATTTAAGTAGATCCTGCATTCAAAATTGTTGAAGGGAAAAGTATCATATTTGTATATTATATATTAACTGATAATGCTATAGTTTTGAAATGGTAAATATTTTTATTTAGACTAGTAGTTAGATTTTATTTTGAGAAACCAGTTTTACAGAACGTACATTATGACATTTTCGTTTTCAAATAACAGTGAAAACCGCAAACATGTGCGTGCTATGTAGCGTAATCTTCTTTCCAATTTTGTACACTTTCGAAGTTTTTTACTAAACTTGCAAAAGCCATATACTGTTTTTTAATTGATTTTTTAATCGTTTCTAACACTGAAGATATATGGCATACAACATATTATGTTAATATTGGTCTTCATTTATTTTTGTGAACTAATTTTGACAATTTTCGTAAGCGAAGAATTCATTCACCTTCCGACAAAAAAGAAATGTTAAATTGATGGTCTTTTATTATACACATCGTACTTCCATATTGCAAGTTACATTCATGAGGTGTATTTTTGTACATATGAAATTCTTCCCTGGTCTTCCCGTTGATTTTGAAATTCGGATTTCCCCTCGACAGTGTTATATTCAGAATCGATATCATAACATTAAACTTTCTTACTTGTGTAAAATACAAATGAACGAAACGCCATCAGTGGTGGCTTTTTCAATTTTGCAGCCTGTTTCATAACGTAAAAGTAAATGATATCGCTCGCAATAACAACAATATGCTATGTATCGCGATCTTTGAACTGTTGAATTACAGTATTTTACACTTATAATTGCAAATCATACACTTAAACTTGTATTTAGGAAAAAAATCAAAACTGATCATTTTGTACAAACGACACAAGTTATCTCAGTATCTCTCGAGTATGGAGGCGACGGAAGTTGACCGCTTGCTTCTACAAAATAAAAAAGGGCGCCATTATTGTTCGCCTCTGACTTAGAAATGGATTCCGGGTTTTCGTCCATACAAACGATATCCATCGATTTATTGTGAGCAGAATTACTTGTCATAAGGTAACCCGAATATTGTTTATCCCAGTCACGGTAACATTCAGTGCGGGCCGGAACCATCATCATGGCGGAACTTCCAGTTACTTCGCAGACGGCACATGGAATATCGTGTTCGTTTAAATCTTTACCAAATACAGCTGCTAGATTTGTACCTCTAGCATTGTATTCAGAACCGTACAAGTACGAACGAGACCTGCCAGGGAAGGAGGCTTTATACTGTGGTTGTTTTGGCAAACAAAGGATGTTTGAAGTTCCTCCAATTTGGTTGTAACGACTTCCAGCGGTATATCCTGAAAGAAAAATTAACAGATGCAACACGTGTAAAAAGAATAATAGTAAAGACATTTTTTATCATAGAAATAAAGTTAAAAAAAAATAAAAGAATCTTTATTTCCAAGTATGATAATGCAAACTTTATTTCAATGTGCATCAATAAATACTTGATATAATAATAATTTCACTTAGAAACTGTAATGCTGCTTGGAAAAAAATCTTTTGAAAGATTTAAATTTTTGAAACAGTTGAAAATTTGAGTAAATCTATGTATAGATCATAGATTTATTGATTAAGAATTTATATGGGTTTTAAACACTTATATAAATACGCGCGAATATCTATTTGTTGATTGCAGACGATTTGGTAACCTTTAAGCCAAGTTTATTTCAGGTCAAACAAAATTCTTATTGTGAAATATTGTGAATTAACCTTTCAGCCGTAACGATGAACGACCCTTTTTCAAAGGTGAACGTTTTCACTTGAGTTTTTGTATAAAGCAATAGATATTTTTAAAATTAATCTTGTTAAATAATTATACCCGTATCTTACATCAACAATACATACCGGCATATAACAAGTCCGATGTGCGTGTACAGTTATATCTTCCCCATCTCGTAAAATATGTTACTGAGCCTATGAACAAAGAAAGAAAAAAACATATATATTGTTTGAATGTGCTGATTCAAATTAATCATTATAATATAATATATTTCTTTAGAACCGTAATGTTCATAGTTCATTTTTGGAAAAAAAAAAAAAACTACCAACATTTTAAAATCTTATAAATCATAAACAAGAATAGTAATTAATGGTGCACAACAAATATCTCTCTTTAATGACCACCTACGTTTATCGTTGCTAGTCCCTTTATCTGGACTCTGTGTTGTAGCTTGGACATGTGCCTGACTACCAGAGGACACATTATCAGTTCCTCCTCGTGACCTGGCAGCGTTTCCCCCATTTGATGACGTATTGCCTTCTTTAGCTATGTGATACACGATTGTCACAGTGACGGCAAACATCATTGACGTCACAACAACACTTAACGCTAATATTATGTACATTGTCGACTTCTTTACCGTTGCTGAAGGAGGAGGAAGAGGGGGAGAAACAGACGATGACGATGGCGCCGGTGTGATCACTTCTTCCGAGAACGCATCTCTATCCATATTCACATATTTATCTTGAGTTGAAAATATAACCGACATTTTCAGCTGGTTTTAAATATATCCAAACTTTATGAGTCTTTATGTTGATAACTCCAACACTCGGTTTATAATGTACTCATGATTTTAGTTTTAACAATTTTATAGTTGTTTTTCATACATTTATTTGTTAAAGTGTTTTCACAAGGTAATCATTTGCAACTCAAATTTCGTTATATGATATTGTAAAACATAGGTAAACAATATTACAGTACACCTATGTCAAGTAGGGGTAGTTTTATATATCCACACTTTTCGTGCATTCATCTGGAACGCTGAATAAATTAAATTTAAACCCCCATTTTATATGTAAATCAATCATAACACCAATCAATGCATAGATCCCTAAACTGTCTAATTCTAAAGTATCAGATTAGTGGATACAATAAGAATTTCACCACAACATATTTGTTAACAAAAGTGCACATTTCAATGTTTGTGGTTAAATCTATTGCTATTTAAATAAAAGGTCAGAGTATTGATCTATTAATGGCGAATTTGTCGTGAAAAAAGTTCAAATTATCCGAACTAGTGATATAATGTTGTCAATAGATTATTCTTTTTCATAACCAAATTGTCTAATTACAACATAAGTCAAAATAATTGATGATACCACCAATTATAAATCAATGGTTAGGTTATTATCGATACCTTTTCACTTGAATTGAAGGTCATAGGCGATTTTACGCATATGAAAGTATACATATGAAAGTGTTTCACTGGTTATAATTAGAATGTTAAGCAACAAGTGAGTAATTGTTGCAATTCGGATTGTGGCTTATTTCGTGATAATGAAATATATACCGGTTATTACAACAAGTCAATTTAATTACTAAAGTTATATAGTCAGTGGTAAAAATCGTTAGAAAATAGCTGATATGCAGTGCACTCCATAAAGTTGTTGTTGTTGTTGTTGTTGTTGTTGTTGATGATGATGATGATGTCGTTATAATTTTGGACCGTCTCTTGTTTTATTGTTTTAAGTGTTGCACTACCAACTTTAACATTTCATAAATTCTGGTTAACGAATAGATAATTTAGTGGACATATTTTTAAGCAAGATACTAGTTAAAAGATAACGGTAAAGATCTTCACCCCTACTGAAAGGGCCAGCCATTTCTGACTTAGGAGACACATTTTGCTTGCATACCATGTACCTCCCAACTCATACCACTAAGCCAGGCGCCAGGCGGATATATAAATTGGTAACCATTCATTTTACATACCGCTCACGAAGCGGCCTTTTCGAAACGAGTCCCACGTGAAACATTCAACCTTCAATTAACGCTACCCGTTGGGCTCGAACCTTCGACCTCCCCCCGATCTGGAGGCGGACGCCTTAACCACTAGGCCAGCGGTACCGGATTATTATATTAGTATGTATACTCTGTTTGTATGCATTATAAGTTTGCAGGTATTTCTGCATATTTTTCGCGCTCTCTTTTCCAAATATCGTGAATATGTTGAAAACGGTTGTACATTTTGTAGCTGAATATCAATGGGAATTAATCGCTTGTATGATAAATTTTGATCTCAAATAACAAGGATTACTCCGGTTTCCTGTTTACAGAAAACCAAGGAAGTAACGGCACATGTCCTTATTGTCTGACATACATTGATAAATGGTCCCATATCTATATAGACAAGGTCAAAAGATAGATCTTATTCAAACCAAAAAATCGGGAATCTGATGCCTACCGCAATGAAAGCAATTTCACTGAGTTTTATCTTATTTTCCGCATTTGTTCCCTTTATAAAATGCGGAGCTTCTGGGAACATCGAAGCATTGCTAGAGGCGATTCTGGTACAAAACCAAAGACTGGAGTCAAGGGTTGAAAGAATAGAAGAGGATTTGCGTAAGGAGAGAGCGGGAAACCAAGAACTCCGGGACGAGGTTGAACGTCTTGAGGCCAAACTGACTGCAAATGCTGCACAAGGTGTTGTAGCAAGACGTGAGTAGCCCAAATTTCAATGCTGTTTTGTTTTTAAAGTATAATGGCTTTATTATGAACTGTTAAAATATGTCTTATAGAATTATAAAAGTGCTATTGATTTTCATATTAGATTATTACGCCGTAATAAATGTGTTTGGTTTAGGTCACAATAATTTATGAAATTAACTGATTTGATTGTCGTATTAGAAAAACCCACAGGGATATGTTCGTTTTTCAACAATCAAACACGTTGTAATTTATAGATTAAAGCCTAAATTTTATTCCTACACTAGTCTTATAAGGTCTACGTGTCTGTTATTCTGCCTTATCTTTGTTATTTCAGGTCAACTAAATGACCCAACAATTGCTTTTACGGCAGTCATCTCACCCAGTGATGTGAAAAACCTTCAGCCCGGACAGCCACTCATCTTTGACAGGACCATAACCAATATGGGAAATGCATACGACATAAGCACGGGAATATTCACCGCTCCAATCCGCGGCGTCTATGTCCTTCATATGGATATCATGATAGAGCCGGGCAACAACGAGTACCTGCAATTAGTCAAGGATGGTGCCCACATACTGTTTAACTATATCCATGCAAATGGTGGACTTGATGACGTTTCTAGCAGTAGAACCGTGGTGACAGAACTTGAACATGGGAACCAGGTGTGGATAAGAACTGCCCAGAGTGCAAGTCACGGCACAGGGACAATACATGGCAATGAATTTTCAACCTTTTCCGGATGGCTTCTGACAATAACAGAATAAATTGATTTTTCAGATCATAGCTGTTAAGTTGTTGTTGTTTTTTTTTCAATTACTAGTATTAGTGAGCAACTTTGAATAAACGCCAGTCATGTATGTGTGCATAAAGTTACCCATTCGGTGAAAAATCAGTTTGCATATCAACCACATTTATATGATTTATATGTCTGTCTGTATCATGAACAATCTGTTTCAGAAAATCTTATGCAAAGACTGAAATTAAGTTCTTTATTACATGAAAAAAGGTTTGAATTGATATCCCTGTACAGTTCACTCCTTAGGTACTATAATGTATTATCTTGTTCGAAATTAACTTTGTCCGTCGCCAGTGTCGGAATGTGCAGATTAGATATGAAATTGAAGAAAAAAACCTCAGTAATTTACTTGTAAATTAAATTAGAAATTAAAGTAAAAAAGGCACATCTGAAACCATTTAAAACATTAAAGCATAAACGTAAATATTTGTCGTCAAAAAGTTCCGGTAAAAAATATTTTCAATTATGTCTTTGATTTATTCTTATTTTACACGTGCAAACTTCTGTTATTGTTAACTTGTTTTCCTTATATAATATAAGCTATGTGGCACTTGTCCATTATCAAGTTAAGTCTGAATAGTACTAAGTAGGCCAGGCACACTTTTTTCTTCGAGTATTTCATTATCAGTGCCTCTAATATGTTCAAATGCTATAATTTAATTTATAATGTAATTAGTTATCAGTCACTCTGAGGATATCTACTTTTATCATATTTTAAAGAGTAAATCCTACGTGAGTTTACCTTCACAGTTTAACTGCGATGTACGAAACATACGTACAAAATGTACACATTTTATCAGCAATATACGAGAAAATTCTCCTATGGTCTGCTGAAAGTAGACTCAATAGTTACTTCACAGGAAAATATAAACTTTTAAAAAATAGTGAAATAAGATTTTTTTTTACATTTTAAAGAAAATACTTTGGTTTAAACATATTTATTCAAGCTCGAATGCGAAATTCTTGCAACTTATATTAATCACATGCGAGACTGCTTCCTGGTACCAACCAGTACTGGTGTCGCATGAAGAAACATGTTCGTGACCCGATTAGGGCTTGAACCAATGATCAACGGGTTGGGAGGCAGACACCTAAACCACTAGGCCACTGCTAAACGCTCATGTGAAAGAGTTGAAATATGGACTTGAATAAAAGCTTGAACAAAACTAGAATATTCTGCCATAAATTTTATAATGATACATGTATTTGTAATATTTGTGGCAACAATGAAGTATTTTGTAACCCATCTGGCTAGGATATCAAAAGGATCAACGCAAACGATTCTGAAGAATTACTTGAAAGTTAGGCGAACAACTGTTAGATGGACACCCCATTTGTCAACATCTTACCAGAAAAGGGAGCGACTTCAGTGCGCTCGAAAATTACTGAAAATGCTGCCTAAATTTTACTGGTGATGAAAGCTGGTTTCACTATTTTACTTCAGTTTGCAAGACCACCAAAAATGTTCGTCGACTATGCAGTGCCGAGCGATTGACAAGTATCAATAAAGGCATGTACGTTATAAGTGTCAAGAAAGGTATGTACGTTATTTTTATCAATACCCCAAATTCCTGTTCGAAGCCTGAAACTTTGTATATATGTAGAATTAGATTTTTTTTGAAGGGTTGAAATAGAAAATTTGTAAAATATTTGCTCTTTTTTTTTTAATTTATTGCATATTGTATTACATAATGCACCACCCTCTCGTACTTGTTTGTTTTGAGTATACCTCCCAGCAAACACCTGACGTTGACACAACGTTGTATCAACGTTGAAAATTGGTCGCGACGTCGGCGACCTTCATACAACGTCAAACCGACGTTGAACCCCCGACGTCTAACAGACGTTTTATTTTGACGTCGACTCTACATCGGGTTTTGGTCGGTAATCTGATAATAGGTAAATTTAATTCATAAAACCAATATTATTTAAATGAAAGCTTTTGTTCTCAACAATTTTAAGCATTTTGTCATCATTCTAAATTCATTTTTAAATCTTTGTGTCAGATAATACTGCAGGTGTTCCATGCTTTTTGCTCTGCTCATTTTTTATGGTCGTTTGATCTCTCTTAATTTGACCATCACAAGATAACCGACTTTACCGTTGGCATGCCATGCCGTTCTTTATTTAGAGATACCTTTTAAAATATTCAATGGAACTTTTAAGTTATATCAGATAAGGGGCCAATAATGCATCAATTTGAATGTAATAAATATCATATATTTTAAATATTTTAAATCTGATTGAATGGAATATGAATGTTATCTTTTTCTATATATAGACAATTCGAGATAACATTGAAATACCAACCATGATCTGAACGTTAATTTGTTCTATACGGGCTCCGCCAGACGGAAATATTTTGTCTCTTTTTTTTATAATAGTTATTCATGATCTTCAAAAAGAAGATTCGATTGGTTTAAATAAGTGAATTATATATAATGTTTCCGGGTCGACTGACTCTGAGTGGAAATGTTTTTTTAAACAAAGTTGTGAATTCTCTGGTAAGTTTTTAATTTTTTTTAATTTTTAGATTTTAGCTTATAACTTTTATTTATCATGATGATTCGGTTTTGTAATTTTTAACAAACAAAAAAAATCGTTTATATACACATCTTTGTAAAATTGGTATTATATAATCATTTTAAATACTGTTATGGACAGCATAAGAGTTATCTTGCAATTATTTGAATAAATTGTATGTGCAATATTAGACTAATTCTTCAATTATTCCGAGTATGATGTAAATATATAATAAAGTGCATAGTATTCTACTTTTTTTTTATTTATCCAAGCAGATAGTTATTTACGGTTTGTTGTTGTTGTTGTTGATTATTTGAAAAAAGATAGAAATTCTATATTGATGAAATAAAATAAAATGGTTAATGCAGCCTCAGTAAGGTATAGTAACGTTATAGAACATGCGAAATAAATAGGCTAAAACTATTATCAAAAAGCACTATTTTACTCTTCGGCAGAATGACTGAAAAAATATACTTATATCGTTTCCATCAACCAAGAAATGCAAACGACATCTTTATTCAGGAAACTCTTCTTCTTCTTTCTTCAGGTAATATTTTTATACTTAACTTAGGGCAAGTTAAAGGGACCCCATTGAGGTCCATGATTATGACTGGAAAAAAAATGTAATTCTTAAATATCAACTGTAGCATGCATTAAAACTGGCAGGTTATGAAAAGTTAATAAAACGTACTAAAAATTAAATTGAAAAAAAAGAAGATTTTTGTGCAATTCATAGCCCTTTTTAGTTAAAAGCAATTTTTTACAGAATAAATTATTATTCGGAAAAAACAGAGTGAGGGAATGATCTGAAATTTTGCAGACAAATTAAATCATGGAATTTTAGTAATTCAGATACAAAGATTTTTTTCCAAAGCTTCATCTGTTTAATGATTCTTACAAAATCATCTTTAAACTATGAAAATATGATACTTATAAAATAAAAACAAAATCTTTAATGTACGATAAAACGATACTTATAAATATATTTAACACATTCGTATGATTAATACTATACACTGTTTCATATTTCGTTATTTATTTAACAGATATACATAACCTGCACTCAGACTGCGACAAACAATAACATAGATAGAGCAGAAAACTCTGTTTGCCGTGATAGACTTGGAAATTTCAGACCAAAAGATTTCAAACTTTCAACTTGCTCCCTTTGTTATTTCTACCTCGTAGTCGAAAACCCAAACTTTGTTTTGAATCGAGAAATTTCAGTGAAACAGTTCCAAAATGAACCATTTCTGTTGCTTCAAAATGGTTCAGATGCAAATGGAAATATCGAAATTCACCCGGACTTTGAAAATCGGGCGTCAGTTGATATAATTTGTGACACACTTGATGACGTCACTTGTAATGAATGGCTATCTTGCTGCAAAGGGGCATGGGATTGCTGCCAGACGCAGGTGCACCGGAAACGTCCCGACGATGAAGAAAATTATTGCCCACAAACGTTTGACGGATGGGACTGTTGGGATTTTACACTATTAAATCAAACTGTGACGCAGGCTTGCCCTGAATTTTTAGCTCCAAACAAAGGTAACTCTGTTTCTTACATGAAGAACACAATACGTTAATGATGTTTATGTTTGGGCTAAATAGGATATTCATTTCAAATTGTAGTAGGTCTTAATCAGATAAAAAAAACAACATAATAGTATAATATGTCTGTCTGTTTGCTTATAAAAATAATATCTCTGTATGTTTGCTTAGGTACATAGTTTGGCCCCAATCATGTCACTCAAATGATTTAATTTTTGTTTACCCAGTACGATATTTAGTGGATAAGATAAACGAAACAATGCAAAGCAACACTTAGCAAATGTTATTTACATCAAATCATATAGTTATTATTACTAAAAGTCAAATAAGTATATAATAATGCGGAGAACATTTATATTACATGTACTTATTTTCGGTGTTTCGTGGTATATGGTCCATAAATCAATCTGTATCAAGATGAAATTTAACGTTTGAAAAGTTTTGAAAAAATGAGCAATGTTTAAGGTCCGTTTATTTATGCATTACTTATATATTACAATTTTTTATGTCATCTATTTAACATAACATACATGACATAATAATAATACGTAACTATACATAATATTTTTCCGCTATTTTATAAGTATAACAGAAATATATGAAATGTTATTTATCATAAATAAATATAATGCAAATATTTTATAGGTGCAACAAGTTCGAAAACCTGTGGTTCAGATGGTAACTGGAAGACAAATGATAACTCGGAATTAGAGTTTACTGAGTATGAAGATTGTTCCAGAAAGGACCAAAACAAGGTTTAAACTTTTGATGTCTTTGTTCATGTTATTTAACTAAATGCGATTAAAGTTGTTACAATCGACAGTGTTCCTCTTGTGGTAGTCCAAAAGGTTTTTTTGTTGTTGTTTTTGTATAAAACGTATGACTTACTATGATTTCTTATTTTGTACATAGTGAATCAATACAGAATAAAATTGTTTCTGTATCTTTATATCAAGAACATTTTTATAGATTTATTAATTTGAAAGGTTATGTATCAGTGTAGCATAGGTAGTTTAATAAATTCATTATTTGAATTTAAGTTACATTAAAAAGTATAAAAGTAGCCGAAAACGTACACATCTGAAGTTTTATTTTTCAGGTTTACAGGACTCCAATCCTCGTTGGAATGGTTGTGAATATAGCAGGAATGATGTTACTTGTACCCTCTATTACAATATTTCTAATATACAGGTAAAATTAAACATTTGTAATTATTATTGTCATATATAAATTGTCGCTTATTAAATATTTACTCTTAACTTTTATTTTTTAATTAAAAGAGCTTATTAACGATAATACATTTCAATATTTTATCATAATGAATATATAATTATATATGAATACTTATTATAATCACTGAATTGCGGTTTGAATATTTCTAGATATTTATGATTAAAAGTTAGTGCAACTTAAACGGTGCTAGTGGGAATCTTAAAATAGATTGCGTTGCATTTACCAATCTATTATGTTACTAAACAGTGCTTTATTATTGCTAAGAATTCGTTGTTCTTGAATGACCGACTAGTTGTAAAGATATATTGATTTTGATCATTTAATTAATGACGTTAAACTAAAAAGTTAAAAGTTAAAAAAGACTAGTTCATTGTAAACTGTAAGAAATTCCGCTATGATCACTGCTATTATATGTGGCCAAATTAAACTAGATGACAAAAACTCTGCGTACAAAATGTTTTAATAATGAATGGTATGACAATAAAAAAGAACAGAAAACATATACGCTATAAAGTAAAATGCTATGTGCCCATCTATACATTCTAACTTACATATGAGCTACCTTATATGAGAGTTTTTTTGTTTTTGTGTGTTTGTTTGCTTTTTTTTGGTTATGTATCAACTGACGAAGCTATTAAAGCGAAACATGTATTGATATTTAGAATTGTATTGGTTTTGATCTATTTGTCTTATCCATTTTTCTTCTTCTAATTTTATCTTTTGTTTTTGCCCTTACAGGCCTTTACGCAGACAACATCGCATTAAAATCCACCTGAACTTTTTCATATCAATTCTCGTAGCAAGCATTTTAGGTTTGATTTGGGACGCTGTTGTCCGTTTGGACAGATTGGAAAATAAAAAGGAAGAGTCATTTCTACATAACCAACAGGTAGTGCAGTTTTAATAATTATAAATTTATTTTAATGCCATAGTAATATATGTGGAAATTTTTTTATCTAAAAGAATAATAAGTTTCACGTTTCATTTTTGGCGCACTCTGGTGCACCAACGGAGATAACGTTTTGGTTTGAAATTTGGAATAATGTGAGGCGTTATATTCATATAAGCGCTTTTTTGATATTCGAATACCATGAGTAAGAAAATAAACAAGTTATTATTGAAAATACCATATATATTAAGATGTGTCTGCAAATTATAAATGTCGGCCATTATCTCATTATCCTATTTGACGAGTTTATCGTGCTTGCAGTGATTTTTATGAATATAATTTTATGTATCACTGGATTAAATAATTTTATAAGTTCCCCTTAAATATTATGTGAAAATGGTAGGAAATAATTTATTACATGCAACATGCATTGTATTTATCATTTGCCATAACATTTGTTCACCACTTTAACATATATGTGTATCAATATTACATTCTTCTAGAAAATTTGAACCATTCAACAAATTAATCTATATGAACAGGTATAAAATAGATCTTATTGAATTAAACTGTGAAAATTTTCGATTTTATCAAAACAGATTATGTGCAAAATGCTGCACGTGCTACACCGATTTGCACGTGCCAGTACATTCTTCTGGATGTCGTGTGAAGGATTTTTTCTACACAGACTTTTGGTCAACGCATTTTCACCACCGAAACGTTTTATTGGATACATCATATATGCATGGGGTAATATCAAAAACAACATTAATCAAATGATTTTATAGCTGTAGTTTACAGAATGCAAAATTCATTATAATTTAAAGATTTGTAAAAAAAAAACTCATTACAATAACGCTGTTTAAAATTCTTATGGTCATTTATGGTAAGAAATATAAAACGTTCCCTAAAGGTTGACGTTTTAATTCAAGTCACGCGTTTCCTACCGGCAACATGGGAAATTTACAAATATATTTTTTTCAATTAAGGTACTTTGGTGTGACTTTTACCTAAATGCAAGCAATATTGACTTATACGCTTTCATTGGCACCTTTAATTTATTTTCAATCATTACAAAAAATGATCTTATAATTGCACTTTCCATTTTCTCTCATGAACAGACTCAATCAAACCGAGTCTGCAATTTTACTGTTCAAAGGATTTACCCTTTTCCAGATTTTAAATTTCACAACAGCAGGTGTTAAGAGCTCTGTTGCAGCTGTCAAAGAATTGGCCCCGTACTTCAACTTAGTGTTGTCATATTTTTCTGTCATTCGAGATAATTGATTTGAATGCTTTATTGCTTTGAAGACTGAATAATGCTTAAGCCGGTGCTAGGGGGCGTGCGAGATGTTGCACTTGTCTCTAATAAAAACGCAATCAACCCGAGACTGCATTTTTCATGTTTAAACTTTGTTTTTATTACTTTCGATGTCAGCTTTAATGATTTTACAATGAAAACTGTATGATGTAACATTAAAACTGTAGAAGAAAATTTAGAAAATTACAAGTACATGTACTGTTAATTTTACCTTATTTATTTTCGAAAAGGTGTCCCCTTGGTTTTGTGTTGCATGTATGCATTGATAAGAAAAAAATTTAGCAAAATGACGGGTATTCACACGTTAACAAATCATAAAGGGATTGAACACACTGTTCTTTTTCCCTTTTAAAATTCCCTCTTAATAAATTTATTAAATAAAGTTAATGAAAATACAAAATTCAAGAAAAATTTCCGATATGAAAAATTTTTTCCCGGGTTTTTTAAAAAAAATATTCAAATAGCCATAATGTTGAACTTTTTGTTTTAAATGCAAAACCAAAGTAAGAAAAAATTGTCATGAAGATGCACAGTGAAAATTTGGTGTCCCAGAAAAAATTTTTGGTTTTAAATTTAAATGACCTTTGGTAAAACCTTCTTCTAGGGCTTTGTCCCCCCATTCCCACTTTTTAAAAAGGAATTCACCCTCTTTTTTAACATTATTTACGGTGTTTTCAAATAAACATTTTCTTTTTTTTTTGGGATAAAAAATTATAATCAAAATTTTTTATTTTTTAAATAAACATTGAAGCATTGTTTGCAGTCTGTGTTGGATTTTGCCATTAAAAGATAACCACGTGGCTTTGGACTGGGTTCTTATTTATACACCATCAATTGTCTGCATCACGGTAAGTTTGTTGACTCTGTCAAAGCTAGTTTTTTTTCAAAGCAAAACGCCTTATTATAAATAATCTAATTCAAATTCGAAACGCATAATGAAATCCGTGCTGTCAATTTGATAAAAAGTAGATTTATCAAAGATGTTAAGTTTTAAATCCCTGAAGATCGTTCAGCACGATACAATTGGTGTGTTTGTGGTTCTTTAGATACGTGTTTGTTTCTATTTTTTGTTTTCTTGCAGTGCGGTTTCAGTGTTCCTGCTTGTATACTATATAACTATCATCAGGTTATGTTGCCCGCTTTTTAAATTGTCTTTTTCCGACAGCTTGTCTGTGTTAATTATTATGCAGACTATATAACTTCTGATTCCCTTTCTGTATTCTATTTCATTTAGTTTCGCCCATTGATTTCTCGGTAAGAACACACGCATTTTTAATTGGGACCATATGCCGCTTTCATGGAATGGCATAAACATGTCACATCGAAGATTCCATGATAACTGCCGTATGGATATTTAACCATGCCATGTTAAATGTTAAACCCAGCTGAAGCCGGTGCTAATGGCGTGGACGATAGATACCATATTACAAATACCGTCCAATCAACGTTTTCAATTTTGCCGTTTTGGGCGTTCGTTCCTTTCTTTATTTTCTTAAATTAATTTCATGTTTTTTATTAAGCAATGTTCAATGTGAACATTTTTAAAATACAAATAAATATAAGATTTTTAATATATTTTGTATTCCAGGCAAATATTGTTTTCCTCTTTAACATTCTGAAACTTTTGGTGCAGAAATCAACAAAACATCCAAACGAACCAAACAATTTCAGGTAATTGATACATAGTTCTTTGCCATAGACACAGTAATTATTATCAGAGAAGCGTTTGCTTGTTGGCCAATAAGCACACGCGTGTTTATTAACTTCCTTTGCAAGTTTTTGACTAAATTAGTGAATAATGAATTAAGTTTTGCACAGCCCTCGTAGCATTGCTAATATACAATACCTCGTGGGGATATAGACCATTTGAGCTGCTTTTGTGGTTACATGTTTGCAGCCAAATATGCAGTACAATTTATTTTGTCTTTTTAGATTCCTATGAAGATTTCAATAAAAAGAAGGAATAAATGATGAAAAGATGAAATAGCTATACTTGTAATGCTAATATGCTAATGGCTTAATGATTGACTTATAAATTATAATGCGTTCAGTATTTCATCGTTTTGTATGAATTAGTTTCAATGAAGAGTTTTTATGGTATGACGATATCAAAGTGTTTAAATGAGTGGTCTGTGATTTATTTCTTTCAGGCGGATATTAAAAGCTACTTTTATTTTGGTACCTTTGTTCGGAATACACCAATTTTGTCTCATATACAGACCGAGTCCGGATACCGGGGATTGGTACGAGGCTTACGAAATCATCAGTGCAATTTTTATCAACTCTCAGGTCAGAAGTTATAATTTATATATGAATTTAGCAAAAAAGTCGTCTAGCTTGTGATTGGTTCCATATGCCCTACATGAATCTACTAGTTAACACAACACGAGTTTGTAAATGTTTTTTTTTTTTATTTTAGCATATTTAACTTTTTTTAGAAGATACGTGCTATAACATCATGATCACTTAAAAGATGCCAGTTCAGCAAGAAATTTTAGTAGACGAATGCAATAACTGATAGTAGCATTTTAATAATTCATTTATTTAGATAATAAAACAAGCTACATTTAATAATTACCACAACTGTTTATTCATTTGATGTCTCAATTTTGTATAAGGAGTTCCATGGTAGCCTAATCTGTTAAATAATGTTCATGTCTAGGTAAAATTAATTGAATATTAATTTATTCCGTTTCTCGCAATTTTGGATATTTGCCTATTTTAGCTTTACTGTATTTCTATTTCATTTTTCAGGGCATTATTGTCAGCCTTTTGTTTTGTTACTTCAATAAAGAGGTAGGTTTTATTTTCGAACAACTGATTAAGAAAACATTTAAAGAGGTAGGTTTTATGCTTAAATAACTAACTGATTAAAATAGCATTTTCCTGAGAACAAAATCACATTGTTCATTTTGGAAAAGGATATGGTATTAAGCCTTCCTCATTGATATACCAGTACCCAATAAAATCTTGTCACTATCAATAAAGATATTGGCACCCCGTGTCCCTGTTTTTAAACGTAAACGCAACAGTTCGTTATTAAGGGTTGTATTTTATTAATTTTGAAATTATAAAGCTTGAAGTAACAAATCCAGTAGCATAAAAAATGATGATTTATTAAAGAATTTTACCTTTTAATATGATACACCGAGAACCTTGTCAACTATGTCGGAATAATACGAATAACAATGTGTCAGATATTTTAATGTTTATTACAATGAAAATCATTTTGTACTTATTTATACTAAAAGGTACAATGCAGTATAAAACTAAGTTTTAAAAGACTAGGGCGAAGATATTCACAAAGACGAAACAGCGACGGAAGAAAGCTTTCTATGTCCATTTCAAGTACGTCTCGGCGAACATCTGTTTCCAGCGTCCAAAACGGTGTTATAACAACTTTGTACGAAAACGGACTCACTTACAATCAACCATTCAATGAAAAAGACATAAAGGGTTACGGACTTGGTGGAAAAGAAACAGGGAATAAAGCATCTGTAATTGAATTACAAGTTAAAATGAGTGATCAGCAAAGGCAAAAAGATTGTCCAATCACTGCAACGAAAAGCAAGGAAGATAATGAAAATGAAGAGTACCTGTCGATTGAAACATTTACAGAATCTGTGAGACTTTGACTGGGATACGGCGGATGATTGAATGAATATTGTCTTCTAATAATTAATATGCTCAGTCTGGTAATGGGAAAACATTATTTAACATGTATTTTTAAATTCGAATGAGAATTTTAAAAAATACATACTTTTTGTTTATTACTCTTCATCTCACACCCACTGCGCAAAACAAATATAGAAAATATGGACTCATGTCATTTTGCATGTTAAAAATGTTAAATCATATCATGTACTTCGGGAACTTACTTGATAGAAAGACTTAATCAGCAGTTTAAACAGCGAAGTGTTTTGTTGTTGTTGTTGTTGTTGTTGTTGTTGAAGGCATTTGAAAATTAAATAAATAAAATAACAATGTAACTTTAAATTTGTTTTAAATGCAATTTATGAATCCACCTCCGTAAGCTCTGATGTGAGGGGAAAAGAAACGACAAAAGTTATAGTTAAATTGAAAATTGTCATTTTAATGATAAAATGACGGATAAAGTAAAAAATATGATTTTGCATAAAAACAATTACAATGGGACTAGAAATAATTCAACTATAAAATGTTTTCCTGGGGGAAAGAACCGCCAACAATATTATTGCATGTTAATTATAGTATCAATAAAACAAATTACGAAAACTAATCTAAACAATCCACCATATTGAATGTACTTTGCAGATTGGCATAACAATGTTACATTATAAAGAGCAGTATTATACTAAAATTGGGAAAACTTCTTTGTTTTTAATTACTGGTAAACATACAGATTCAGTGGGATTCAGAGACTGTTCATTTTGTAACGATTTTTACTGTCATTCTGTGATTTTTTATTTAACACTAGCCTATTTGTTTTGTTATTTTCCTCCCAATCGGCTTCAACAAAGTAAACACCTCTGCCTCACAGTTCTCTATTCCTAAAAAGGGCTTGCTCGAGTTCGAGCAAATTGCGAGAGGCTTCAGGTCGCTTTCTTACACGCCTGTTCAATTCACCGACAAGTGTGAGGTTTAGATCTGGTGACTTGGGATGCAGGAGTTGCTTGAACTAGAGGAAGACCTTATTCAGGAATGGAGAAATATTCCCCAAGCCATCATGAAAAACTACGTCATAACCATGAGACATGTTTTAATCACACTTTCTTATAGCAATGGGAGGACATACAAAGTATTAACATACAGATTTAGTGGAATTCAGAGACTTTTTATTTTTTACGATACTTACTGCCATTCTGTGATTTTTCATTTTGCAGTAGCATATTTGCTTTGTTATTATCTCTATTTTCTTGTCAATGATATGTAAATAAAATTCTAAGAAATAAGTATGATATGTTGAATATTGTATGCTCAAAAGTTGAACAAAATCCGTTCACAAATAACCAATTTATACCGAAAATGTAAGTGTCGGGTTATAAGATCCTCTGAGTGTACACTATCACTAAAAGTAATGAAAAAGACAGCTGAAGTAAAATTGTGAAAAGAAAAGAAGGAATAATCACGAAGCGTGTGTCCTATTGTTTCTGTACGATGCACTTTTAGCTACAGCTACTGCATGTGTGTAGCTTCAAAATGCTATTTACCGACCAATATCCACTGATTTCTTACAATCCGATGCTTCAGTCACAAGTGTGTTGTAGGTTTTTTTTTCATTACTTGCGCTATTGACCCGTTAATATGTAAAGATGTTGTTTTAACAACTTAGATATTCCAAACACTCGAAATGAAAAGTGACTATAATAATAATGCATTTTAATGTTTAAATCATGAAACCATTTATAATTAATAGATCCCTACTTTGACCTTTTTTGAATAGCAATAGATTTAACCACAAACATTGACATGTGTTCTTTAATTAGGAAATATGTTGTGGAGAAATTCTTATAGTAATCGACTAATTTGACCATTCAAGTTTAACAGTTAAGGGTCATGTTAGGGGCCATCGTGACGTGTATCATTTACATACACATATGTTGCAAAAATTTATTAACCAATTTTCGTTTTCATTTTAATCAAATAAGGCAAGTTGCATTTCTTAAAGAAGTAAATTATACTCAGATGGCCGAGTCTGGTCAGGAATGAAAATGGAAAATACGACATCTCTAAGGTCGCCAAGCACATGTTTAAGTAGTGTTCAATGTTAAAAGGAAACAAAGAACCGGAAGGACCATAAAATGGTACTTGTTCTGACACAGATGTCACACTGCATTGGAAGCCTACTGATGTGAGTATAAACTTGAATGAGGGCGTTCCTTTTGAACAATGAGACAATAAAAATAATCTTAATAATTAATAATACATGCATTGATATGATAAAAAAATATTTCACCGTTTTCTATATAATTTTAATATATTGAAAAATAGCGATATTTTCGAATACTGAATGGTTGACCATTTGATATTATATCTTGAATTGATACGGACTGTTACTGAATAATTATATCTTGTTGGAAGGAAATGGAATAACGACATTAAAATATGATAAGAAGATATGATTATAATAGAAATTCAATGTGTCATCATTTAGTCTAATGACGTTCTGATAAACCGTGGGAATTTACATTTACTCCCGATAATTGTTGGCTTAAACACTACGTTCATTTGCTTTACAAAGGTAAGAACATGTATATCCTTATTTTATATGCAGATGATATTGTTATATTTTCTGATAGTGAAACAGATTTGCAATGTAGTTTAGACTTACTATATGTTTACTGTAATAGATGGAAGTTGTGAGTAAATATATCAAAGACTAAAATACTCATATTTAGAAAGGATGGGCGCCTTCGAGCAAATTTGCAGTTTAAATATGGTGAAAATAACATTGAGATCGTTAATCGTTTTGTATATCTAGGTATCGTATTTACGACATCTTTGTTTTGCTGATGCACAAAATGCACTTTAGCTGTCCAAGGGTTAAAGGCAATATTTAAAATGAACAAATATTTATATAAATTTACTGATATATCTGTAAAACATAGATTAGAATTATTTGATAAGTTAGTCCTACCTATTTTTAATTATTGTTCTTAGGTCTGGGGATTTCAACCCGGTGCTACCATTGAGAGAGTTCACACACAATTTTGTAAACGTTTATTGAGTGTAAAGAAATCCACTCAAAATGATTTTCTTTATGGAGAATTAGGCCGCATGTCGTTACAAAACATAAGATTTTATAACATTATTAAATATTGGATAAAATTTTTGTATATGTCAGATCACAAATATGTTAAAAAAGTATATAATATGTTATATAATGATGTTCTTTATGATCCTAATAGGAGAAATTGGTGTTCGTAAGTTAAAAACTTACTTCGTGAATTGGGTTTCATAGACGCATGGATATTTCAAACAGTTGGTGATGTTGATCTGTTTTTGTTAAATGTCAAACAATGTCAAACAAAGAATAAAAGACCAGTTTGTTCAAAAATGGAATGATAGACTAAACAATTCCACTAGAGCAATCTTTTTTAAAAACATTAGCAATTTTTGCTTTCAACCGTTCTTAAATATTTTAAATTTTAAAAAGTTTCGTATATCTTTGTCACGATTACGTATGTCATCACACAGATTATATGTTGAAACAGGTAGATGGCACCAGCCAAGAGCTATTCCTTATGATGATCGCAAATGTTCTGAATGTAATGTTTTAGAGGACGAGTTTCACTTTGCTTTACAATGTAATAGATATATTAACCTAAGAAAGCAGTTTATATCGCCATATTATTGGAGACACCCAAATATGATAAAATTTATTGCTCTTATGAACTCTGATAATGATACTATTATAAAACGTCTTGCATGTTATATTGAAAAAGCTTTTAATGTTAGGAACAACACTATTTTCATTCAACGTAATTAAGGTAATTAAGGTGCAGTAAACTTTGTCAACTGTGCAACTTAAGTAATTGTAAAATGAAATTAGTAAATCTATCTTTTATTTTAGTGTATACATGATATTGTTAAGCAACTTTTTGTTTTACCATATGTCAATCTTGTCACTTTCGTTTTTCGGACAAGGCTGACAAATATGGTCTTCTCAGATGTTATATTATCTTACTCATTCAGCGAATCATTGTTACCAGTAATTCTAAAATTGTAATTTGCTATATTTCCGGTAAACTGCTTCAATCACTTAGTTATCTATGTATTTTGGACAGTTTATATTCATATCTGTCACCAGTTTGGTTGCTATATGTTTGTAATTATGTAAACTATTTTAAATGCAAAACTCAATACCTTTTGCTAGATAAGTTATGTTTACTGTTACGTAAACTGAAACGGAAATATGTTCGTTAATATCATTTATGTAGGTCTTATATGCTAGTATGTAAACTGCCATATTTGTAATTGTACTGTGCATTTTGCCACATGGGTCGTTGACCTTCTGGTTTGATATGAATAAAACTTGAAACTTGTATATAATTTTCTTTTGAATGGTGATGATTTTGTCTCGTGAAATTTAAAAAATGCATTTTTTTCTCCATCCTTTTTCCATGTATCTCAATCTGAATACTAACTGAAAATTTCAAATAACAGCTTATGTCCATTATAAAAAAATGTGTACACTGTACTTTTAATATTTCGAAATTTCTTATCTTACTGAAAATTTCAAATTACAGCATATGTCCATTATAACAAAACAATTTGTACATTGTACCTTTAATATTTCGAAATTTCTTATCTTTAGTGCATGTTTGAAAGTGACGATGCCTGACATTTTGCAAATATCTACATTCTTATTGGTGACGTTACTGCCAGTTTTAGCTGTTACTATTGGAGAAAGATTTATTCTTGGTAAGTTTGCTAATAATGAAGATGTAACATCCGGACGACTATAACCTTCATTTGTACTAATATTACACTGAACCGTATTTTAGAAGCCCACAATTTAAACAATTTCCTGTGTTATCAAGATACAGCTTATCATTTCGAGTTCGGTCACCGACCTTTCCTAAAATAGCTAAATATCTTCCTTAAATGCAAAAATCCTTGTCACCATCTGAGTGGTAAGGTGCAAATGACTTGAAATATTCATTTTAATTGGTTACAACTTTATGTAACATACCGGTAACTGATTTACAATCTCACATATATACGTGTTACTGTTTTACAAATATGTGTGCAGTAAAAGCCAGTTTTCTTTACAGAAGACATAACGAAACATGGGCTATTATACAAGTGCTTCTGTTGTAAAAAGATATTTAGCATGGTATTGTATTTTGTTTTTGGCAAGACCAGTGTTTACTTTCTGGGGAAATAGACGAATATGTAAGGACTTCTCATGCATTATATTCTTCTTTATTGATAAAAAGTGTTTGGTAACAAATTTCAGATACAGATGTAGCAGCAATGGTCCCAAACAGTTCAAACTGCAGCAATTCATCCGCCATACCGACAACATCATACCTGGAGAGGGCAAAATGTGTACTAGAGTCATTTCCCCTTATAGATGGGTATATAATCTTACATACCGAAAAACGATTTTTCATGTTTAATAACTATAAATACAACGATCGTTTATTATACCTACATTATTGAAATCATAAAACGTGTCTGAAAACCAGTTAATTTCTTGTTTTTGAATGAACATAAATGTCGTAATCATTGTTCATTTTTTGTCATGTTATCCTTGATTGAGATGTTGTATTATATTGTCTCTAAGAAATGTTAATGAGACGTTTATAAGCACATGGAATAGATATCCTTACCGCTCTAAAGAGAGAAGTTTTCCATTGCGTCCACATTTAGAAAAAAAAATAACAAAGGCTCATGACTTACGATAAAAATGTTTGAAGTTAAACGAAATCAATTAGAATTGAGCAAAATCTCTGACTTAATTATTGGTGGAATATTCAACAGTTGATCATTTCCAGATAAGATAAGACCATAGTCTCAAGCATGTCGTGTGAACAATATTCATACATTGTGAAAAAATGCCAATATTTTAATTGGCCCTTATTTTTATTCTTTTACATCATTTAACTGTTTATGTAGGACTCAAAACAGTATTTATGCTTATATATAGACTGATTGTCTCGATTACTATGTTATTTTTTTTTAAACTTCAATTTTTTATAAACTTTAATTAGCCACAATGATAACATGGCTTTGTAAGCAAGTATATGTTTCATCATTTACAACTAAGTATAATATTACTGGTGTAATTATGTTGGGTTATTTGGTATTTTCAGCCACAATGATTTAGCTGAAAGATATCGCGAGTTTCTCAACAACACGGTGTATGCAGTCGATTTACGTTCAGATCTAAGCCAACTCTTAAATACAACAGAACTTCAAGCCGACATACCGAAACTGTTAGCGGGAAAACTCGGTGGACAGGTTGTCAACTTATAATTTATCTGCGTGTAGTTATAAGTTACATTGACATTGTTATAATTTACGTAAAAACAGATAATCAAACTATTATTATAACAGTTTACCTTCGTAGAAAAACGACAAGCAGTATTTATAATCATCGTTTGTCTTAAAATTCATAAATCATGTATTTCGTTATAGTTTTGGTCATGTTGGGTTTCCTGCGGAAGTCAGTATAAAGACGTTGTGCGAATGACCTTGGATCAACTAGACGTCATCAAAAAATTCATTCGGCGTTACCCTGATGTTTTCAAATTTGTTTCAACTGCTCAGGGTTTGTTCGGTTTCTTTTTAACTTATAAGTTCATAAAAAAATATAAAATTAATAAAAACAAAAAATTCTGACGCTAATGTTTCTCTAATAGCTGCATGTAAAATCATTTTGAAGGTTTCTATTTTTGATGCACATACCTATCTATCAAAATTGATTGGAAATGAAAAAGAAAAAAAGAACTCCTTAATTTTTCAGAGATAAGTGTCTTTTCTTAGTTTTATTGATATGTTATTTTAAAATTTAGAATAGCTAGCATTGATATCGAATAATATAGGATAGAATCTGAAAATGGTTTATACTTTGACAAAATACACAAAATACAAGATCATTCATCCTTTGATTGTGGCAGCGAAAGTCTATTTTCATAACTTTAGTATAAGTGTTTTATTTCTGTATGTTTGTTTTGTTTGTCTTTGATTTTTTTGTAATATCTGCACCCGATAATAGATTAAACGGTTTATTTCCTTAGAAGTTATAATGAAGTTTCCCTGCCTAATTTTATTCTGTAGTTAACAAAATGTATTTCGTTTTATCAGGCGTTCTTGATGCGTTCTCAGAGGGTAAAATTGCCAGTTTGATAGGCCTTGAAGGAGGACATTCCCTGGACAGCAGTCTTGGTGTACTTCGGATGTACTATGAACTTGGTATCCGTTACATGACGGTTACTCACAGCTGCAATACGCCATGGTAGGTATCTATAAATATATCTGATTAAATACTGTTATTTATAATTTTTTACAATTTATACGCCTGTAGTAATTCCCCTCGTGTTAATATAGTATGAATAATTACAAAATGAGGCCCATTATTCAATTAATAACCCATAAAAAATCTAACTAGAAGTTGCTGAGCACCTCCTTGCTCACATGGCACAAATTCCATACAAAGTAGTTTAACGGTGCATCAGACTTTTGATTCCCAAATTTTATTGTCCAGCCGAAATACCAAATAGATATCAAAGTGTAAAGCTCTATATAAGAAAATTGTAAGCATTTGAAAAAAAACGACAACAACAAAAAAAAGAACAAAAAATGCATTGGCTATTTTTCTAAATTACTAGATTTAACCACAGATGACCTAATTTTGTATACAATAGTTCATGCTATTTCTCAGACGTAAGCAACAGTTCGTCCTCGATGATCGGAATTATAAAAGATCTTGTAATGTTTACCAAAATGTTTGATAATTAAAGGGCAGATAATTGGCATGTTGATGAAATCGGTTACAATGGTACAAAGATTGACGGATTAACGGAGTTTGGAAAGGTAGGCGATAATATTTCAAGTTTTTCATATTTAACAAAGCAAAATATGGTTCTTAGATGTATATTGCATACTTTTATCAATTAATTAAACATGATATAAAGTTCACATTTGTAAGTCATTCGTAAGAATAAAATTCATAATGTGCTTGTAGTTCTTTTACTTATCACACTGATTTATTGTCGGGGTTTAAGCTAACTTAAAAGATAAAAATAGATCTAAATATAAAAACAATTTTACATAATTTGTTAATTTAAATAATTTGTTAATTATTGTTATGGTATTAAACAACGCATAGAATAAAATTTTATAATAATAAATATTATTGTATTGGACAATATTAAAAGATGACAACATCACAACCAATGCGGATGAAATTAAAAAAATTTTATCTGAAATTTTTTCACACAAATTATTGATCTAGATCTACATCAAATGAAACATTTATCTTAAAATATTTTCAGTCCCGTCATGTCAAGTGGTGTCCCACTAATGTTTTGTTTATTTGATAGCAAGTGATACGGGAAATGAACCGACTTGGTATAATGGTAGATCTAGCGCATGTTTCCAAGAAGACAATGTCCGACATCCTCGATCTATCCGTGGCTCCAGTTATCTTCAGTCATTCATCAGCCTTCAGACTTTGTAACCACTTTAGAAATGTCCAAGATGATATCTTATTTAGAACAGTAAGTATGATATAATCACATATTTATTTCTTGATAACTTCATGCATGATGATTGACTTTATGAGGGTTTAGAAATAAATTTCTTATGTATCATTTAACTTTCAAAACACTGTTAGATATCATGCTCACAAGATAACCTTCAAATTCAGCCAATAAAATTGTTAAAATTATTGCACTTGATTTTCATTTTTTTTTTACTTATGCAAATTCTGCGATTACTATATTTGGTAAGTCCACTACAGATGTTACTAAAACATGATATACGCTCTGACAGATTGTTTTAGATTTCTTTAGAAGAACACGGGTTCCACCTATTATTGAGGATGCATTAATTCTAAAGTGGTTAATGATTTGACGTTATTCATCCGATAAGTCATAAGCAATAGAAAAATGCATTTTGAAGCTAAATTTGCATTTAAAAACTGTGACCGTTCCATTAGTATTATTACTGTTGTGATACCTTAGTACCCTTAGTTTGTTGTTACCTATAAGATAATGTTTTTGTTGCAGAAAGCCAATGGTGGGGTAGTGATGGTAAATTTCTATGACAAATTTGTTGTCTGTCCTCCAAATAACAAACCGGATACAGTAATGTTGGACGTGGCAGGTAATGTGTATATATACGAATATCTGATTTGTGATTTCTTTTTCAGTTTGTTTCGACTTATTTTATTTCATATATGTTCAGGGCAGTTACATGAAAAAAACTACTGTACTCCACAGACACATAATTGGAGTGTGGAGCTCATTATACTTTAAAATTCAAATGAAATGTAAACATTTATTTGTCATTCTCAGAAGGTATATTTATCATATATATGAGCCGCGTCACGACAAAACCAACATATTGTTTGCGACCAGTGTGGCGCCGTTATATGTCGCAACGCCGCTAAATGTCGCACTATTGCCGCTAAATATCGCACTATTGACGCTAAATGTCGCAACCGCCGCTAAATGTCGCAAAACCATTTGACGTTAAATGTCGCAATGTTAACGATTAATGTCGCACGAATTTCCCTTATCGTTAAATGTCGCAACACTACCGTTAAATGTCGCAAGATGTAATTTTATGTTGAACTCAAGTTTTATTGTTGTATCATATTAATTAGATATGCATACTCAATTTGAAAGCGAGTGAATTTATTATATATGGAACTGCGCTACAATTTAGGCGGCGATAATACTCATCTTGTAAATAAATGTATATTGTTTTGCGTTTGATTTTTAGCTGATCTTATGCAAGTACATATTGATAATTATACAATTGTCTACTATTTGTATGAAACTGCAAAATTGGCATTGTTCTGTAAATAGTTTAGTACAATTGTGTCTAGAGACAGGCTGTCTAAGGTGGCAGTCTGATGGCTTAGTTGACTGAGGAGGCAAATTGTCTCGCTGTCGGAAGAGGAAGCCTAAATTGCTGACGACCCGGACCTTAAGAGTATGCCTAACGCCCTGTAAGCCTTTACGTTGGTAGCCTAGTTTCCTGTTAACATCCTAACAGTCTACCGATATTAGCTTTGCAACCTGAAGTTGGCAATCTTACAGCTTAGAGTCGGCAGCCTAGTAGCTTAAAGTAAGTGACTATATTATAAATATGGAAACAATTTAAAATACAGTAAAATCACTATGAAAGGTCATGCAAAAGCACATACACATGCATGATTATGGAAAAAACGCCTTTACCTTTAGGGCACTTAACTTTGTAGTCTAATAGACTAAAGCTGGCAGTCTAGGAGCCTGGCAGCCTATAATTGGTGTCATGTTATAAAAAATGGAACGATCAAAATAATAAAACGGCAAGTTGGATTTTTCCTAAAATCTACTAGTACAAAGTCCACACTTACTTATTAAGAAAAAGTTCATGATATTGCCATCCATTTTCTCAAGTTATATTCCTTTTTTTCACTTTGAAAATAGGACCTTGTATGGTTAACCTATTCCGGTAAGTTGGATTCATCTTAAATATTTATTTAATGATATCTTCCATAACTGGTAGGTGGATACCATGAATGGCCGTGTATTTTTTATTGAATAAGGGGTTTCTAGTGTCAAGGTCACTTGTGTGAATTTTTTACATTAAGCCTTTATTGTTAAGATTATGTATTTCATGTTTAATACAAACATGCCATGGGAGGTCCTCTTTCTTTGGGTTTAGTTGGGGGTCCTGTGGGTAAAGGCCAAAGTCACCAATGCCAAAAATAGATTTTAACATTTTTACAGATTTTTTAACATAATTCCTTTGAAAGATGTCTTTTATATTTGGTAGGAACATTGAATTGAGGTCTTCTCCTTTGGATGGAGTTATGGTTCAGTTGGGTCAAGGTCACCAGTTCTAAAATAGATTTCTACACTTTTACAGCCTTTATTTATTGACAAATGTATTTCATTTTTGGAAGGTAGATAACTTGCATGGTATTCTTCCTTTATATTGAGGAAGGGATCAATGGGTCATGGTCACAAATGCTAAAATAGATTTTAATTTGCAGGATGAAGTTCACACAAACAGTTTATGCTTTTATCAAATTTGCTAGTCGTATGCGTGCTTTTATTTCCATTTTAACGCCAGAAAGGCAGTGGTCATTCATATTATTGTTGCAATAAATTAAAAAGATATTTTCTTTACACATCTATTCCATTTTTTTTTTTTGTTTTGAAAAATAAAGTTCTTAAAATTATCTTAAAATAGATACACTATGGTGCGTACTGTATGTTTGTATTTATGGTCATTTGAACTTCACTATGACGTACTCGACATGCGCATTTTAGGACGAACATAAAAGTGGTTACAGATATCTAACCAATATCGTCGTTACATATTTACGAGTATAATTCATGTCTTGTGTTTTTCGAAAAATATCAGATTTAATTTCATTGAGATATTTATAATGAAGCGTTACAGATTAAGATTTTCATTACAGCAAAGCAATGATATAAAAAGCCTAAATTCTATGGCCAAAACGGCTAGCTGTCTTCAGCCAAACAGCAAGGCCATTATGAGCTTAACCCATTATTTGTATTCTTATTATATGATAGTTACTGAGAATCTTTCATAGTATAAAGCGACTGGGCGAGAAAAATATCACTTGCCACAATGTCGAAGCTTAAATAGTGTTTGACAAATCGTAAAATGTACTAAATCTTGTGTACTTATTTTAACTTTGACATCGGCTTACTGTGTGTGAATTTGCGTTTATTTATACTCGCCACCGGTTGCCCATATGGGCGAGTCCTCCAGAAGTGTACAAGTCATTTTAGATTTTGGAGGAAAGTGCAATTACAGATAAAGAAAGATGCCCCGATTCCAGAAGCTTCCCCTTCTTTAACGCGCCAAGTAGTTTTAGCACCCATCACGGGACCTCGATTTAAAGTATCATCTGAAAGACTGATCAGTAATTTTAGTTGGCCAGCCCGGGAATAGAAACAACAAGGTCGAGGTTACAAGTCTCGCGCTCTATGCAGGCTGGCTGCTTACAAAAAATCCGGTGCATATAATCGTAAAATTCGCTCATATCTAACATACGACTGCGTATCGAATACTACATGATCAAGGAGTACCACATGATATTTTTTTTAGATTTTCGTATTGACCGTGTATTTCACGTATTTGCCGTTTCTGTTAAAAAATTGCCTTGATATTCATACAATTTTTCACGTTTGAAGTGAATATTTGTGTGGTTTTTTTTTTGTAAATATAAAAAGGGAGATAATTTAGAAAAAATACCTTTCAGGGTCATATGTCCTTTAGAAATGCATAAGTACTTTCATATGAAATAAGTATTTTAAGTTTAAAGTGAATATGTTTGAAATTAGCCGTAACCAAAAGGTTAATCAGAGCGATAACATCACAGAAATGAGGGGAATAACTTTGCAAAATATAACTAGGATTATCTGCCTTTTGATATTGCATCATATGATCATAGTGAACAACTAAACCACGTTAAAAGTAAATTCGGTAGTTTCTGAGAAAATAAATGAAATAATTTAAACCAAATTCTGAGAGTGACAATACCATAATTACGGAATGCCGTTAGGGCCATCGCCTATGAATGTGTTGATCTAAAACGCGATAGTCGATAGTACGATGGTGAAAACGCGAAATCACGAAACTACGATGGTGAAAACGCGAAAGCACGATGATGAAAACGCGATAGTACGATGATGAAAACGCGACAGTACGATACTTCGATGATGAAAACGCGATAAACTATCGTGTTTTCTACGGAATGCCGTTAGGGCCATTGCCTATGAATGTGTTGATCTGAAACGCGATAGACGATAGTACGATGGTGAAAACGCGAAATCACGAAACTACGATGGTGAAAACGCGAAAGCACGATGATGAAAACGCGAAAGTACGATGATGAAAACGCGACAGTACGATACTACGATGATGAAAGCGCGATAAACTATCGTGTTTTCACCATCGTACTGTCGCGTTTTCACCATCGTAGTTTCGTGATTTCGCGTTTTCATCATCGTACTGTCGTGTTTTCATCATCGTACTATCGCGTTTTCACCATCGTACTATCGCGTTTTCACCATCGTACTATCGCGTTTTCACCATCGTACTGTCGTGTTTTCATCATCGTACTATCGCGTTTTCACCATCGTACTGTCGTGATTTCATCATCGTACTATCGCGTTTTCATCATCGTACTATCGCGTTTTCACCATCGTGGTTTCGTGATTTCGTGTTTTCACCATCGTAAAATCGTACTGTCGCGATTTCATCATCGTACTATCGCGTTTTCATCATCGTGCTTTCGCGTTTTCACCATCGTAGTTTCGTGATTTCGCGTTTTCACCATCGTACTATCGACTATCGCGTTTTAGATCAACACATTCATAAGCGATGGCCCTAACGGCATTCCGTAGTTTTCACCATCGTACTGTCGCGTTTTCACCATCGTAGTTTCGTGATTTCGCGTTTTCATCATCGTACTGTCGAGTATCGCGTTTCAGATCAAACCATTCATAGGCGATGGCCCTAACGGCATTCCGGAATGCCGTTAGGGCCATCGCCTATGAATGTGTTAATCTGAAACGCGATAGTCGATAGTACGATGGTGAAAACACGAAATCACGAAACTACGATGGTGAAAACGCGATAGTGCGATGATGAAAACGCGAAAGTACGATGATGAAATCACGACAGTACGATGGTGAAAACGCGACAGTGCGATGATGAAAACACGACAGTATGATAACGAAAACGCGATAATACGACAGTACGATGATGATAATATGATGAAAACGCGATAGGACGATGATGAAAACGCAACATTACGATGATGAAAACGCGATCACGAAACTACGATGGTGAAAACGCGACAGTACGATGGTGAAAACACGATAGTTTATCGCGTTTTCATCATCGTAGTATCGTACTGTCGCGTTTTCATCATCGTACTTTCGCGTTTTCATCATCGTGCTTTCGCGTTTTCACCATCGTAGTTTCGTGATTTCGCGTTTTCACCATCGTACTATCGACTATCGCGTTTCAGATCAACACAATCATAGGCAATGGCCCTAACGGCATTCCGTACATAATACCTTTAATCTGTTGTCAATCAGGGTTACAAATGAAAATGTTAAACAAAAGAAAAAAACTTATCTACTGAGAATTTAGTATCAATTATCCTTTCTAGCCTAAAGATTACATTATATAGTAGCTCAAAACCTCGATATTTATGTTCGTTAAAGAAACCAAGTAAGACAAAGATAATTTTTTTTGTAATGGCAATAACAATTAAAATAACTATGAGAATGTTAAAAAGTAAAATAATTCTACTGTAAACATGATTTTAACATCATGAATTTACATCTTGCGACATTTAACGGTAGTGTTGCGACATTTAACGGTAAGGGAAATTTGTGCGACATTTAACGTTAACATTGCGACATTTAACGGCAAATGATTTTGCGACATTTAGCGGCGGTTGCGACATTTAGCGTCAATGGTGCGACATTTAGCGGCAAGTGCGACATTTAGCGGCGTTGCGACATATAACGGCGCCACAACCAGCATGGATCCAGACCAGCCTGCGCAGTCTGATCAGAATCCATGCTGTTCGCTGACCAACCCTATTATAAGTAGAAAAACTGATAGCGAACATAATGGATCCTGATCAGACTGCGCGGACGCGCAGGTTGGTCTGGATCCATGCTGGTCGCAAACCCATTATGCTGGTTTTGTCGTGACGCAGCTCTTATCATAAATTGATATACGCTGTTTTTAAACATAAATCTCATTATAGACGTTGAAATAAGATTTATTTATCAAAGCAGCGTAATACTATGTTAATTTTTATTGATGTAATATCATAATAAGCATTTGTGATGGAATTGAAAAATATACATATATTTGGATAACTCCACACTCCAAATGTCTGTGCTGCACGTCTGTAGTCAGTGAATATTTACTGTAAAGGTGTGTTATTATAAACTCTTTTCAAATATCAAAATTTTACAAAATTTAATTAAATTTCAATATAATATTGTGTATAATATGTTACTATAACAGACACAATGACATTTTCATTAGAGATTATATAACTAAACTGAATCAACTATTTGTTGATACATTTCAGATCACATCGACTATATCAAGGATTTGATAGGCGTAGATCATGTCGGAATTGGGGCAGATTTTAATGGGATCCCAAGGTATTAAAACTTGAGTGTTCTTTTCTCTGCTGTTATACGGTAGGCAGATACCTCCAATGCTTCGTAACCATAATATAAGTTCTTTTTAACCAGTCACAGCTATTGTGTTCTTGGCTCACTTAACATACAGGGTCGTTTAATAACATGGCCTTGAGGGCATTTACGGGCTGGTTGGTCAGACTGAGGAAGGTTTATGGCCCGAAGCGCAAATTATCGTTTGAAGTTCTTTGAAAACGCATATGTTTGTATATGCTATGTTTTGGGGGTGTTTTACCAAATAATAAGAACTCCATCATATCTGAACTTAATAAAGAAGAAAGGTAACAACTCAAATTAATCAAAAATGTTTGAAAGTGTGATTAAGAGCTTTTGATGTAAAACGCACTTATCCAAAGTTAGGGGTTTTCAAAGTCGTAAGACTTACTATAATGGATCTTTAAAATGACAGTTAGTTTAATGTATGATTATCATATCATTTAATGGAATAATACACTCGATCTTATAAATATCTTTGGGGAAATTCTTCTAGTACACCCAAAGGTTTAGAGGATGTTTCAAAGTATCCTGATCTATTTGCGGAACTTATCAAGAGAGGTTGGAGTGATGGAGATCTTCAGAAACTAGCTGGTAGAAATATTCTCCGAGTTTTCAGAGCAGTTGAACAGGTAAGTGTTTCTTTTGATCCAGTCCATTTAACCATTTTTTAATTAAACTGGATTTATCTTTTTGAAGTAATTAAACTCAAAGATGCTTTACGAGTATATAGAAAATGAGCATCTTTTCATCTGTACACCAGTGTTTTGAAAATGAAAAAAAGAGCGTTTGTATCGCCAAAAGGGAGACACAAAGCTCTAGCTACTATGCTTCAATAGCAATGATTAAGAGCTCTGGTTCTCCGGGCAAATGAGATTGCAACATATACACTTGGGTAGACATATTTGTCATGTTAATAGTGGATACACTTTATTATAATCACTTTCGCTCCTCCTGAAGGTGCCAGTTGTACTAGCAGGTCTGATACAATGAAAAGTCAGGTGGTCTCAGGTTTTTCATGTTCTTCTTGTTGTTGTTGTTGTTGTTGTTTTGTGGGGGTTTTTTAATGAGAAAAGTTATAATGCATTACTTTGTTGTAATTGATCTATCACATCAATATTTATTCAGTTTGTATTTCAAATATCACATGCAATCTTTACATTTTCAACTGAAGGAAGTAAACGTAGTAACTATACACCATTGTGAGATGAAGTAAATGTAATAATTTTATTTCGGTAGATTCGTGATGGTTTGGTGAACGTACCTCCTATTGAAGACCACATACCCCCAGAACAATATGTGAATGATTCGTGTAGAACAGATATTTGATTTTCAGATACTGTCATTGACTGATTTTTAGCTGGCAACTCAACTTTAATCTACCGGCTAGGAGAAAATGTATAAATAAAATGAGATATCACTGTGTTGTTGTTGTTTTAATAATTGTTTTTCCAGTAGCTTGTGTATATTTCATGAATTTTATTTGCATCATCTGGTGTTTTAATGCAATATACATGTACTGTTATTTTTATTAACTTTAATTATTATTCGTTTTAATTGTGTGTACTCTGAAAGAATGAATGACAAAATGTTAAAGAACATGAAGAAGATTCCGTGATCAAAATCGCTATATAAATAAATGTTTTCATAGAATAATCGGCTAAAGTTTAACATCGCTTTATTAACAATAGTACCAGGGATTAATTACCATTATTTTCCCGAATTAACGCGTAAAATGAAACAATGTATTTCTGTTGATAGCATTATCAAATGATACCTAATATTCTTCATGTTTGGAGCCGCTTTATTATCAATTAGACTAAATTCTGTTATACATATTTCACAGGGTCGTTGTGCTACTGTACAAAATAGTCTTTACGAATAACGATGTTGTCACTTATAATGCCCTTTTAGATAAGGATATAATGACAAACATGAATGTTTTTATTGTAGGGAAAACACATGTAGATGAATGCCTAATAAAGAGTGTAAGAGTGTAAGCACAAATTGTTGTTGTCCATGGGGATAACATTAGAAAGTATTTAATTAGAATTTGAAAACTTGAAACAGTGATTTCGTTTCAGCAAGTTTTCTTTTCCTGTTTCCATTCATTCCTTCATGAAATTAAATAGGGTACATGACTATGTGTAAAATCATATTTTCTTTGTAACTCGCTGTTACAACATGCTCTAGATTATAGTTCTAGTCAGACCTGTTACATTATAAATAATTTTATAATCATTTTGTGAACAAATATGCACAGGTGATTCTGAGTCACTGTTTCATCCTTCATATACAGTACTTTTTCATTGAACTTTTACATGAATTGAGGATTCTATTTTTTATTTATGATATTTTTTTTTTACAAAGCACGTTTTTTTCACATTAAGACTTATGTCGCGTTCTTATTTATTTGTTAAATGCTAATTACTTAAGGGATGTGAGAGGCAGAGGGGGGGGGGGGCTTGGTATTCTCCAAGTTATTTAGATACTCAATACCATGATAATCTGTCTTTATACAACGTTCGAGTATATAAGCAAACAAACAATTAGATTTAAACTAATTGAGCCGTGTCACGACAAAACCAACGTTATGTGTTTGCGACCAGCATGGATCCAGACCAGGCTCCGCATCCGCACAGTCTGACCAGGATCCATGCTGTTCGGTATCAGTTTCTCAACTTGTAATAGGGTTGGTAAGCGAACAGCATGGATCCTGATCAGACTGTTCGGATGTGCAGGCTGGTCTGGATCCATGCTCGTCGCAAATGCACTATGTTAGTTTTATCGTAATGCGGCTAAATTATCGTTTGAGATGATGAAAAATAAACTAGTGGTACAGTTATGATCATTTATTTTAGTTCAATTAAACAAATGACCATTCAAGTCTTTCTTCTATTTCTTACCAAGCGCTGCACCGAAATCGGGAACACTGCAAATAGAGTTTAGTATTATTAGTATCATACAGCATTGATCAAACCTTATACAGTTTTGAAATAGTGACAACAAATAAAGTTCCCAAATTTGAGTACGTTCCAAAGATGTAAAACATTGTAACTATACTTCAAAAACTGACACTGCGAAATAATACGTCCATTTTCTTTACTGTTTGCGAAAAATGTTCAAATTAAAAAAAAAAATAAATATATATATTTATTTATTCACAATCAAACTCGAAAAAGGATGTTTATAGTTTACAACATTATCTCCCTATGTATTCATATTCTAAAATATTGTGTAGAGGTCGCGTATTGTGTCGGATTAAAAAAAGCTCAATTTTTAAATAGACTTAAGCCTAATGATACTTTTCATGTAACATATTTATACAGAATTAGGATACGGTGGTCCTTGACTTCCCTGTCCATGCCCAATCACATCAATTTTTTTCCTTACACGTTCTTTTTTAACCGCTTTGGATTCTTTAATGAGTGCAGAATCCAAAATCTGCATTATCCTTTTGGTGTTTTTTATGTTGTAATTCGTGTAAATTAAATCACACTATATATGACGCTAATATTAAATAATGCAGACTTACTTTGCACAGATGGCACCACAATCAAAACCTAGATTAACTGTATTGCAAAGGGCCTCGCAGTCCAAGCCCTTGGCGGCTGTCATTAAGGTGTCAACTAAAGAAATACAAACACATGTACATATGTAGTCATTATAAGTAAAAATCAAAATTTGTTTAGCGTCATGTGGTAAGAACAATGTGACAATTGTGTATTACACCGCAGTGTTTCTGTCTTCTTCTTGTTATTTTGGATAATTACTTCTAACATATATGTATTTAGTTTTGATTGAATTGGACATGAGCCGGTGCTAGAGGGGCGTGAGAGATGTTCCTTTCTTCATTATCTCTCACAAACTGGGTGTGACAATGGTTACAAGTTATGGGACAAAGGTCACGACATTTATTGATACAATATAACACTGCATGGTTGTACCTCCGACATTCGTTGGACAATCATGACCAATTTATTAATCAATTTCAATTAAATTGCAATGTAACAGAAATCAGTGGTACAGAAACATAAATAGTTGTTTGCACAATGTATGAGCTTGCAATCGTTTAAACTGCGCCATTTAACCTGTCAAAATCTTTATAACAATATAATGTTAAATGAGTTTGATGTATATGAAATTTAATTGTAAATAAACAGAGAAAAGCAGTCTTATATACGTAAGCACATGGTTTTTACCATTACATAGATAGTTCATAATGATGTCAATATATCCAGTTTGTTTTTATAAATAAGTAACAAGTGGAGAGAAAAAAATCGAATCTTAAATGAACGAAATAATCATTTACTATGATGTCTTGAACTAATTCTGAAAGAACCTTTATAAATATTTCAGTAAACTCTAAAACAAGGTAAATTTACTTACTTGCATTTCTAACTTCCCTCTCTTGATCAATACTAGCACCGAAGACCAATGGCAACAACACCAACAAACAGAGTAACAGTTTCATGTTGGAACAAATAAACTGAAAAAAATATTTGTCTGGTTAATTCAGTTTCTTTTTTTACATAAAAGTATGTATGTGTGTGTACATACCAAAATGTTATAAATTAAATAAATGAAACTTGAACATCCTGCCATACTGACGATCCGCGGGCTATATCCATTGATATATCCGGTCGCTAAATCATTGCCCCCCCCCCCCCCAAAAAAAAAAAAAACAACAAAAAAAAAACAAAAAACAAAAAACAACAACAACAACAAAAAAACAACAAAAAACAAAACAACAGTTCCATACCGTGACACGCTTTCCCAACATACATGTGAGCCGTGTCATGACAAAACCAACAAAGTGGGTTTGCGACCAGCATAGATCCAGACCAGCCTGCGGATCCGCGCAGTCTGATCCTGCGCGGATGCTCAGGCTGGTCTGGATCCATGCTGGTCGCAAACGCATTACGTTTGTTTTGTCATGACGCGGCTCATGTATACCTATTCTACAAATGTCAGTGACCCTGCCTCTTCGGGCGCTTATACCTTTTCATCCCTTTTAAGTGTATCACTTTGTTGAAAATCCAGACACTTATCAAATTAGAAAGAAATAATAAGAGCATCAACAGTTTAACCTGCAAAACTGTGTGACTGTGCACAACACCTTTGTCGAAATGTAAATAATACACATAATCACCGCAGTAAAAATATTTTGGAAAGGGTAGATTTTGAGAGAGCAGTTTCGAAGAGATGAAAAAACTTATTCGGTTCGATTGTATAACATTGCTCATGAAACCTAGCAATAATCGATAAGTATACTACAACCACACTGAAATATATAGTACGTGGTAACTTTTTACAGTTGACAAACAACACTTTAGAACTTCTGCAAGTCCACTTCACAAATTAGGCTTTCTTTTTACTGCTCTTGATTTTAATATAAAATTTACATTTTGAATAAGACGAGCAAATTAAGTTAGAGCAAAAGAAAGTCAACGAAATGCTAGTTAATTGATGGTTACCTTTTCCGCAGGCGAAGTGATAATGAAACATGGCTGAAACACAGGGTTTATATAATGGGTACTTCATCTGATAAGGGTCCAAAAACGTAACTGCTACGGAAGTTCAATGTCACTATGTCGAATTTAAGTAGTGCCATTACTTCTGTATTGTTCTAGTTCATCACATATGTCTTGTGCAGTTCACATAAACTGGGATCAGTCTATTTTGCTAACTCTTGCAATAGCAGCAACAGAACAGGTCTATCAGTTTTTCTTATATTCAAGTTCAGAAGGTATATCGAAGCTTGATAGACACGTTTGTTGAACAGTGCACAAGATAAATTAGTTCTAGTCACTTCTTTACAAATCAGCGTGAAATTGTATCTTTTCTTTGTCAAAGCATATAGGTTTCTGAACTGTATACAGTAATTCTAATCATCAGATAAGTGGATACAATAAGAATTTCAACACAACATATTTGATAGCCAAAGAACACATGTCCATGTTTGTGGTTAAATGTATTCAAATGTGGTCAAATATAAACAAATGAGCCGCGTCACGACAAAACCAACATAATGGGTTTGCGACCAGCATGGATCCAGACCAGCCTGTGCATCCGCGCAGTCTGATCAGGATTCATGCTATCAGTTTCTCTACTTGTTACAGGGTTTGTAAGCGAACAGCATGGATCCTGATCAGACTGCGCGGATGCGCAGGCTGGTCTGGATTCATGCTGGTCGCAAACGCACTATGTTGGTTTTGTCAAGACGCAACTCAAATGTAGATCTTTAGGTATATTAATGTAAGATTTTATTTAGTTAATTCGACAATAGCAAACTAAGAGTATTATCCCATTTAAATATTGCTTGAAATGAAGAACTGAACAGCTTGTTTGTTTGTTTGTTTGTTTCTTTCTTTCTTGTTATTTTTTCTCTCTTTCTTTCTTCGTATACAAATGATATTATATACATGTAGTTAAATGTAAATATTATTATGCCAGTCTGCATCTTCAAAGAATGTAAGTCCAAAAGGCCTTACGCTGGAAAGAGAAAATATAAACGCAAGATTTGTGAAAAAATACGAGCTTGTAACGCCGAATCTGTGCAACTCTATGGTCGAAATGAGGATCACTGTTTAGTGAATGAACTAGTATCTTTATTGTAGCTCAAAATAAAAGAAATTAATATGCGCATACAGTTGCTGATAATGGTTTGCACTGAAGATTATATTTTTTTTCTTTCTGAATTGTCTATCAGCCCACTTGTCAAAACGCTCCTTCATTTCTTTGATTACCAATTGCTATACAAATCACATGGAGGTTCCCATGACTATATATTATAAAACACGTGGCAAGCAAGCGAAGATGTCTCCATAGAGAAAATACCCTTCCCTTTAACTTACCTATTCAGTTTGCCATATATTTTCATTTAATGTTAACTGTGGTGAAAGTACATTCTAGTGCATGTGAACTTGAAATTGCCAGTCTTATTTGGAAATCAGATGTCTTTTTCAAACTGTTCCTTATACGAGTTTAGTAACATATATTTATGTGGGGTTATAGTGCAACTTCAATGCGACACATTTACTTATGACCTTGTATTACTTTTGTTTGTTGAAAATAAGATAACTATTTGACAACTTTAAGTATAACACTATTTTTCGAACGAGTTCAAACAACGGAGAAAAGCGCGGATCTAGAAATTTCCAGAACATGCCCTCCCCCTAATGCAGCGTGTACTAGCTGGGAATTTGCTACCTAAAATGAATATAAGTAGTCCATGCTAAAAAAATGTACATGTATTATAATATTGAAATCCTTTGAATTCAAAATCCAAATGAGGGAAATCAGTTACAAAAAATTCAGGCCAAGGCGGTATATATTCGACTTGTTTTAGTAAAATTTATAACCTACAGGGGATCGAACCTTAAGTGCTGGTCTGTATGCATCAGGCGATTATTCGATGGTCTGACTGCACTTTCTTTTTGTCATTTTATGTTTGTTTTAAAAGCGAAATGCGTCCTTAGTCCGTACGGACTGGCCACATTTAAATAAAAAAAAATAAATAAATTTACGGAAAACTAGACCAACGGCTTGTCGTTTAAAGAAGTATTACCAGAATCGACAAATAATAATATTAATATGAAATATGTATTGTTCAAATAAACCCTTAATTTTAAGCGATGTTTTTGTTGTCCTCTGTTGTTGTGGTTGTTTTTTGCCAATATACACATTGTTTACATTGCATTTGAGCATGTATATTACTTGTTTAACACAGAACTTTCATTGAAATAAAAACAAGAATGTAATGAAAGACCTAAATCGCTCACCTGAATATAAATACTCATAAAGCACGCCCGTTTAACTCACAACGAGTGAAAAATGTCCATCGGTAAAAATGTTGTGAGCAACTTCCGTTTCTCGTTGTGAGCACCCATCTTTGACGTGTGACACGATAAACAAGGTGATTTTTTCATAATTTTTGAAGATTACAGACATTTATGTAAAAATATCGAAATGCAGTTAGCTAGCGATGCGTTTTCCGAGTATGCACATTTAAAGATATTGCCTGTTGGTGGACAATTGGATGGAAATACCGTGCGACGCAGTCACTCGGGGTAGCTGGAAAACTGGAGACAACTTCTCTTTGGACCTAATTTAACATTGAAAACGTCGATTCTGGTGACATTTTGTGCATTCTAACCTAAAACAGATGCCCACAAGTCTTCAGCGTAAATTATTATCTGAAAGTCTTCATAGAAACGAAGATATACCCTGTTTTGCTTTAATCCTCGTTGTGAGCACCATAACCTCGTTGTGAGCAAGACAAGTGCAGTGCGTTTATGGTTTTAATATGTAATTCAGATGGTGAAAATATAATTTTCAATCTACCACAGCAATTAAAACGTTTTTGCACAGCAGCATTTCTTTGCAAGACGTTGTGCATACCCCAAAGGGAGGCAAATTAGTTTTGAACTGTCTGTCTGTCAGTCCGTCAATCTGTCCGAAAACTTTAACATTGGCTATAACTTCCTTAATAGTAAACATATTTGATTCATATTTGAACACAACATCCCTTAGCACAAGACCTTCCTACGGACCTGTATTTTTTAACCTTGACCCCTGAATGGCCTTTACCTTGAAGGTCAAATTGTCCAAAAACATTTAAGATTGGCCATAATGTCCTGGCATAATGTTTAGGCACAACACATCTTTGGACAAGGCCTTTCAACTATCCTATATTCTTTTGACCTTGACCCCTGAATGACCTTCACCTTGAAGGTCAAATTGTTCAAAAATTTAAAAATTGGCCATAACTTCCTTATTAGTATACGGATTCTACTCATATTTTGAAACAACACCCCTTTAGGCAAGACCTTCATTATTTTTTTTACCTTGTACCCTGAATGACCTTCTAGAACATCCAAAAACTTTAACATTGGTCATTACTTCTTTATAAGTAAGTGGAATTAATTCATATTTGGACACAATGCCCCTTTGGACAAGACCTTCCAATTGACCTATATTTATTTCACCTTGACCTTGAATGACCTTCACATTGAAGATCTGATTGTCCAAAAACAAATAATCTATCTGGTCCATAAATCAAAGGACAAAGCACCACTTCAGGGGCATTGTCAACTTACCGTGAAAGTTCTTGTTTTACATAGCTTGGTCAGTCTTCAGCTCAGGATAAACACATGTATGTGTGTATTGTAAAATTGTTGGAATATTAATAAACTCCCCATGATATTCACTCGTGCCACACTAGAGTATACGAAATAAAATACCTGATTAACCTCCACTGATTAGTTCTTCTGTTAATCTGATGACTTGTAAATATGAAGTATAATTTTCAAAAAAAGAAAAAGAATAACTATTGCAAAGAAAAACTATTGTACAAAAACGTTTTGGTTGCTTTTGTTAGATTGAAAATTGTATTCTTGCAATTTGAATTTCATATTAAAACCAGACACGCACTGCGCTTGTCTTGCGCACAAAGAGGTTATGGTGCTCACAACGAGGATTAAAGCAAAAAAGAGTATATC